CAAACAGAAAGCCCTTTCTGCAGATGGTGTTAAACATATGCAATTTTACCCTCCCTGCCACTAATATTCATGACATTTTATCTACGACCTTGGGTGACATACCAATTTAAGAACTGGTTCTCAAGTCTGAAGCGTGTATTGCTTTTAGGTTTTGCAATCATGGGGGGTCCCCCGGCTTGAGCTGATGTGTTGCAACGCATGGAGGGTGGATAACCATCGGCTATTTGTAACCTTTCTGCGCAATCTTTTTTCCCCGGATCGATATTTATGTCTGAACCTATATGGTCATATTCTTGTAAAAATGCGTTGTTTTACATGTGCGATATTTACAGTGACATTTTCACACAGTGTGATGGACGATAAAGGCACTATACATTATGAGAAGTGCTCGAGTGTCAATTTGTTGTACTCAAATATATTAATCATTTACTAATTTAATAAACATACTAGTATAGGCCTAGCAGTAGCAGTATCATGTCCTTGGCAATTAACTTTTAAATCTAAACTACTTTTAAAAGATAGAAATATCCCAAGTAGTACTTTATTTTTTTACCAGAAACAAATAAATGACATGAACCGTCTTTCTGCTGGTGGTGAATATGTCATGTTGCACTCCATTAATGTTCACAGTGCTAAATCAAATAAATAATTGATAATTAATATCAAATTCCTTTACTTTGTCGAAATGGCTGCTTTCCTGTTACACGGTTGTCATTACCAAAGATAACGAACTCTGAGAAATTGTAAGCATATCATTGTGATCTATGTTATACATTCGTTGTAACTACACAGACCTACAGTTTATAGGCCTACAACGCGCTCTGCGTGTTTCGTCAGGTAAACCGTGACATACTTAATCGTTTATACACGACCAACAATGAATTCGCAACAACGTACATATATGCGTAGATCACCAGCCGAGGCGATCAACACCGCCATATTTGTCTTGCTCACAAACGTCGGCTCGCTAGGCGAAGGGAAACTCGCTCTCGGTCGCTCTACATGACTTTCTCTACGGGTTACACACAGCGTTAGGAAAAGTGGCCTTCATGTATATCATGTTAACAGGTTGAAAATTGCAACAAAATATGCATATATTTGTGCATCAACCTCTTATTTGAAAGGCACGGCGAACATTGGAATGAATGTATTTGTGTGTTATTTAACACGTTTTGCTATTATATAGTTTGGGACTATGATTGGAGACTCGTCATACAAGACTACTGTTTATCTCAGAAAATCCATCCGTGAATTTGGGCCTTGGTGAAGGCTGTATAAGTTGACAGGCATGACAAGCATTGCCCTTTGACCTTAATACTCTTCTGTGAACTTAGACATCTGGAGATATTTCTGCGTAGATACAAAAAAAATCAAGCCTAGTTATTGTACTTTTAATTTTTGCTAAAAGTACATTGGCATAAAATCGTATAGCATGTTTAATTCAAAATAGGAGAAAAAGATGAAGTAAAGTTAAAATGTCACTATTCACTAGTCAAGAATCGTGTACATTTGTGTGTTTAGGAGACCACTTTTTTAACAGCTCTGGACATTTTCCCCATTAATATTAACATGTACGTGTTTTTTTAGTTCATATTCAGGTGCCTATCCACCTATTTTTTTTTAAATGAGCAATACATTTACGAAAGGAGACTGAGGATAAGGTTTCAGTTTTTAAATGAGCTCAAAGATAACGAATTTCATGTCGTATTTCCATAATTTGGTAGAAATACGACAAACACAATGTACTTTCTTCATTACACTGTAAAAACAGTGTTTAGAGTTTAAAACACATCTCCTAAACACTGTTTACACCCACTTTTTAAAAATGTTCAAATCTACGACATGTGTTTTATAGCTCCATGGATTTATGGTCATTTGCTGTACACAAATACACTATTTGTTTTACTAAATGTAATATACATAATAGTTTAGGTCTGTCAGTATCGTGTCATCGACAAATCTCAACTCTCAACTACTTATGATACAGATATCCCAATTAAGTAGTACGCTATTTGTTTACCAGAAACAAATAAATTATATAACTGAACCGTCTTTCTGCAGGTGCTGTTAAAATAAATTGTTACTCGTGTTGTGGTTTTGGTTAACAACAATTAATATTAAATTCCTTTACTTTGTCAAAATGGCTGCTTTTCTGTTTCACGGTTGTCATTCTCAAAGATAACGAACTTTGAAAAATTGTTAGTATATCTTTGTCATCTAATTTATACATTCACTGTAGCTACACAGGCATACAGTTTAGGACGTGCTCTGCGTTTTTCACCATGCAGGTAGACCGCCACATGTTTTGACATTTTTCTTTTACACAGCAACGACAAATTTGCCACGGTTCTTACACCCGTATACAGTGCGTAGATTGCCGAGTAAACACCGCCGCGTTTGTCTTGCTCACAAAGGCCAGCTCGCTAGGCGAAGTTGAACTCGTTCAACACGGTAGAGACGACCCCTATACGGTTTACACACAGCGCTGGGGAAGTGTCCTTCACGATATGTACATGTCATGCGATCAGTTGAACATTGCATCAAAATATGCACGTATATATTTGTACGTTAGCTATACTTCGTTGAATGGCATGGCGATCATGGGGATTATTATCTTCTTTTGTTATTTAATAGTCGAGGAACATTATGGTGGCACCCCTCTGGCGGGATACTGTTCCAGTAAGTTCAGAAAATCCACCCTTTTAGGCCATACTGAAGGCTGTAACCCGGGAAGTTGACATGCATGCCAGAAATAACTTAGGACAGTTGCATCATTGCCCTAACATTTTACCTAAACACTCTGCTGTGAACTTTGACTTGTGGATATATTTCTGCACAGATAAAAAAAAATAATAATAATACAGCATCCCCTTGAACTGTGTTCTTATTCCTCCATGGTATACTGAACATTTAATTGTTGGCCAAACTTTTTTTGTTACGGGAACACTGATGTCATGTTGTTCAAAATGTTTTTTTTTTTTTATATATATATCCACCTCGCAAAAGGGAACCTTGCTAGCAATAGTAGCCTACTGTCAGTGAAGAATCATCGGTTTCGAATCAATTTCATTCGACTTTGGACAAATGAAATCGCAGAATGAATACCGTGAGGCCTATAACTGGTTCAGTTGCTCTTTTTTTTCCAAAAGTTTTTTTTTTCTGTTGATACTTTCACCAATGTCCTTCATGGCAATTCCTTTACCAGTGTCACATAGGCTCTATACATAATACTTAGGCCTACCATTTCATTCGAACACTTTCAAAACTATTCTACGTATTATTGTCTTTTATTGATAACCAACATCAATTCGTTCCAAATATTCTAAGTAAAATATGTCATTAGCAACCCCCCCCCCCAAAAAAAATAAGCCACTTCTAACAATATGGTACAATATGTTACTGGATTTGAAGGGGCAGTCATATAAGACAAAGAAAATGCAAATTAAATATAGGAATTGAAATCAGCCAAGTGTGGTAATTAATACTGGACTGTCTTCATTTCCTGACATTTCATCGACGAACCTGGGGCAATGCGGTTTTTTGGTCATGTCTATAAAATTAGAATGTTCTGCAACTTCATCAAATTAGGTTTTGCCTTTCACTGCCGTATAAACACTGTATACTCAGTGTGTTACCTCCCGAGTGAAAGTTTGGAAAAACCTTTCACTCGGGAGGTAAACACCGAGTATACAGTTTTTATATACGTCGGTGAAGGGCAAAACCTAATTTGATTTACATCACCTCGACGCAAAATTCCATGAAGTGAATAGTTCTGCAACTTGTTCGGTATTTTTGGTGGCTAGCTTATATATATATTTATAAATTGTACACTTACCTGCTTAACAACATATGTGAACAATAATCACGGTCATATAGCCTATGTGGACGCATTATAGTTATTAGTTTAAATGTTAATTTTTCAAACGGTATTCAGGAATGGGTTTTTTTCTGTGAATTTGAATATTTACATAGTACCAAGGGACTTGTTCTCAAGTCTAATTTATGCTTGAATGTTCAGGTTTTGGTTTTGTAATCACAGGGTCCCCCCTGCTTGAACAGCGTGTGCGAATGTTATATTGGCTACTGGAAATTGTAGCATTTTTTCCGCAATCCGGTTTCCCCCAGATAGTTATGCCTGTTTCCGGGTGGACAATGAGTATAGTTGTTTGCCGTTTCACAACACAGCGTGTTGGACAGACAGACGATAACATTACTGCTTAGAAGTGATTGAATGTTATTTGTTGTACCGGTACTCAAATAATGATGGCTCATATTATTTATTTACTACTGTAATATACATAGTATTAGGCCTATCATGTAATCCACAAACGTTCAAATCTCAACTAGGCTACATATTGTACAAATATTCCAAGTAGGTTTTTGTTTACAAGAAACAAATAAATCGTATAAACAAACCCTCTTTCTGCGGGTGGTGTTGAAATATATTATGGTATATCATATATGCCACTAATGTTCACGGTGCTAAAGCTATGTTGTGGTTTTGCTTACGAATAATTAATATTATATTCAATTCCTTTGTCAAAATGGCTGCTTTCCTGTTTCACGGACGTCATGCCAGAAGATAACGAATTCTGTGAATGCTTTAGCATATTTACAGTTAACACATTTGGCAAGGACGGCCCTGTGTGGCATCTATTTCATTGCATTCATTTTAACGACACTTCATCATGTAGGTAGACTGCGACACGAGTGAAGTTTTATCCTGAAACCACCGACGAATTCGCCAACGGTACACCGTACCAGTGCGTATTGTCTAGCTCACACAGGCCAGCTCGCTAGGCGAAGGTGAACTCGTTGAACCCGGTCGGTAAAATACCATTATTTACTCTAGTAGTATTAACATGCGAGACCCCTTACGCTGTTCTACTTTTCCCGATACAGTTAGTTCAGAAAATGTTTCCATTATTTTGGGCCACGGTGAAGGCTGTATAAGTTCACAGGCATGCTTGAATGGGAAGACAGATTCATTGCCCTCTGACCTTAATACTCTTCTGTGAACTTTGACATCTGGAGATATTTCTGTGAATGACAAAAAAGCCTAGTTATATTACTTTTAATTGTGGCTAAACATATATTGGCTTAAAATCGTACAGCATGTTTAAGTTAAGTTAAGTTAAGTTAAAATATGGTACAATTTTGTCTGATAAATATCTCCTACTCTAAAGAACACCCCTTATAAGTGATCTGAACACCCCTTTTGAGTAAATAAAGGAAAACTGCACAGCTTCTGCACATCAGTTCAAAATGAAAACTATGTTGATTGACATTAAAATCGAAATGCGTCTGCTTATGCCTATTTTTTTTATCTCAGAATTGCATAAACCTGAACATATAAACAAAATAAGGGTAATTTGCAGCCACTGGTTTCACTTAAAAAAAAAAAAAGAGGAAAGAAAGATATCTGCATAAACACAAACGGTGCCGACTCAGTGTAAGAGTAGGTCGAGTCCATCACATGTCCATCACAAGTTGTACAGTCCCAAGTCAAGTCACTAGTTTTGCAAATAAAATGTGCCAAAATGTATTGTTGTTTATGCATCTCTGTTACTTGCTATTTGACTCGAATGTTGTAGGTAATTTTTGATAAACGTTTGACCGGACATGACGATTGACTCGGCTACAACATGATCCATTATCAGATCCACTTTAATATCCTCAAAACGGTCGAACCCTGGTCCCCTTATTCTTAGGTCCTCATTGCCCCGAGCCCCTCACCGCCCCCCCCCCCCTCCCCAACAAAAAAAATACAAAACAAATTTAAAAAATAGTTGATCATGAGGTATGTTGCGAATGTTTTCCTACCGATGGATTCTTGGACATGGGATCAACGTTGTTTAGTATACTATCGAAGTTGGGGCGTGACGTTGGCGTGGGGTGCCAGCACTCCTTCATGATAGTGTAACTTTGAACAAAAAAAAAAAACATAACCAAAATATAGAACTTCAACTAAACATAACTATCAATCATGAGACCTCTTTTTTAACATCTCTGGACATTTTCCCCATTAATAGTTACATGTACGTGCGTTTTCATTATTAAGATGCCTAGACACACTGATAATAAATTCTTGGATATGACAGTAAACCAACCTCTATTAAATTCTTGTTTACGACAGTAAACCACCCTCTATTGGATTTGTTTTTTTTAATGAGCAATACATTTACGAAAGAAGGCGAGGATAAGGTTTCAGTTTTGAAATGAGCATAAAGATAGCGAATTTCATGTCGTTTCTTTCCATAATTCGGTTGAAATACGACAAACATTGTAACATTCTTCATTTTACTGTAAAAACAGTGTTGAGAGTTTAAACACATTTGCTGACCACTTTTATGTGCCAACTTTTTAAAAATGTTGAAATCTACAACATGTTTAGATTTATGGATGTTTGGACATGCTTAGGCATGCACGAAAGCCTATTAGTATCATCAGGTGTCAATTGTAAAAGTGCATAAAAATGACTTATTGGATTGAACACAAACTGACAGGCTTTATGCACACTTTGATCACACTTTCATTATGATCTGTCTACGATAAACAAACACAAAAATATACCTTTAACTTTTTATAATTTATATAAATGACAATTTCAGGCTTTCATCCTGTGCAAAACATGTTTCAGACTAAACATGTTAAAAATGGGGGTACAAGAAAAGTGTTTATAAGAGCTAAGCACCAATATAACAGTGAAGGTATACTGATTCCACTCACAGTTTATCCCCACAGTGAGAGGGTTTCGGCAAACGTCTGCCATTTTGTAAGGCATCAATTATATCTGAGACCTCGATTCCAGGGTAAGGATGGACCCCTGTAGCAAGATAAAAATGATCATATATTTGTGTATAGATAGTTTCAAAGTTTTACATAAATTACTATAATGACATGCAAATATTATGTAAATTAAAGGAAACATCCGGAGATAGATGCTGATGACAGAACCAGTCGGCAAGCTGTTGGGAAAAGGAGGGATCTCTGTCTGATGGAGGCCCTGGGAGAACACTTATTTTCAAAGCAAATATTAGATATTCACCCATTGTAACCATCTCCCATAGCAAGATTCCGTAGGACCAGACATCGGACTTGCTAGTGTAGATATTGTCGACGATCGATTCGAGAGCCATCCATCGAAGGGGAACAGCTCCCTGTCCCAAACAGAAATGAAGGAAGCACAGTTAATTAACCTGTTCCTTGAGTACACACAATTCTATCTACTTGATTCAGAATGGGTCTTCTCTGAAAGTTTTCTTCGTGGTCTACGCAATCAGACATATTAAGCCCATTCATAGACATCCTTATGTAATCCTATAAGATAGTACTGCCCGGCTGACACGAAATAGTCAGTCGGTGAGTCTGTGAGTCAGTCAAAACAATAGGCTGGCACTCTGGGACCAGCAAACAATACAAAGATGAGAGTGAGAAAAAAACCGATTCCTTTGGCAAATATTCATAAAATCCTTCAATCGGCTGTCTGTCTGTGAGTGAACAATTTCATATTCCTTCACATTCGAAGTTTTCAGTACTGCCTTGTTGCTAATTTAATGCGGGCATATTTCATTACATTTCAGTGCATTCAACTTGGAAATTTGGAAATAGACCAGATGTTTTCCCCCGAATTTTTGTTTTTATTAATGACTCACAGATGAGGACATCTTGTAAAAATCCTCGGCTATGACATCACGAGAGAAGCCGAAATCTGAAACTTTACATATCAGATCTTCGCCTAGGAGGATGTTGCGAGCGGCCAAATCCCTGTGAACGATCTGATAGAAATAAACAGTAGGTCATGAAGCTTGGCATTTAAAGTGTCCCATGAAATGACCTTTTCTTAGGAACACACTTTGTGCAACTTTTTACTCCTCTTCAATGTATGAAAACTACTTGACATCCTTTTTTTATTATTTTCTTTAACAGTGCACTTTTTTTAAAACATATAAAATTGCCCATGCTTTTCCGCAGACAACTAAGAGCGATGTTGCTGCGATGTTATTTCAGGAAGACTCTGTTCAGTTTAGGGGTTTTCTGTTCAAATGGAGAACCCAAAACTTGCTCATTGAAAACATGTGTGAAAAAAGGGTTGCTCATTTGGCTTACTGTCATGTACTGATACATCAATGAATCACCAAAGAAAAGAATTTTCAACAGCAAAACATCCAAAATTCTGGTATTTTTTTTGTGCTGAAATAGCTGTAACAAAGAGATCTCTGCCTGAAATGACATCACAATTTGCTCATGAATTTGGAAATTCGCATTAGCATAAAAACCAGAAAGGCATCAGAATATGCCCTTTAAAATCGCAAAACGAAAATCGAAAATAGGTTAAAATAATGGACGTACTCACAGGTGCATTTTCAAGGATTGCGTTAACAAAATACATTGCATTGGGCCTTTAGGATTTTATAAAACAAATTCATTTTGTACACTGTAAAAAAATATTGGGCAAATAAATGCCCAACGATGTGCGAATAGTTAACACGTTCAACTATGGGAAAACATTGCCTATACATATCGCGTTGTTTATATTTTACCCAACGAATCATTTGCCCAATATTTTTACAATTATAGATGGACACAATGCTTGGGCGGACCTGTGTTCACGTTTAAATGCTGAATTAGAATGTTTCACAACATTAAGTTTAAGTTTACTGTAGATTTACCAACAAGCGGTAAAAAGAAATCGGGGGAAAAAACAGTCATGGCAGCAGGAGTTACAGGCCCATAGGCCTATACATAAAAACAGAAACCTGTACATGTACATGTACAGGTTCCTGCATGCAAATAATGGGTCTTTAGCCTATAATATCGATATTGTATGCAAGAATCAAAGGTCAAATATTTATAACTGTACAGGGGGAACATTATGCACATTGGAGTGTAAACATAATTGGAACGTTCCATTGGTGCACGCTGTAGGGGTGGGCTGGTTATTCCATTTTCAGGGGTTGCTGGTAATGGGAGACTTTTGAGACGTTGGTGGCAGCAAACACACCGGTCCTTTTGAATATTGTTTACATCATGTTTAATCTAAAGCGCGCATACTCAATATAACGTAAACATTGCAAAAATGTATGTTTGCTGCCATCAACGTCTCAAAAGTTTGACATTGCTTTTCATTTTAGATTAAGTAATTTAACATGGGGTTCCAGCTATATGGACAGAGCTCGCGAAAGTTTTGAAGTAGGCCTACTGGAAGGAGGCTTAAAATGGAGTACTATGAGGTTACGCTCACTGACTTCTACAACTGGACTGGCTTCTATTGTTAAACGCTTATTGGCCTATAGATTTGAAGCTAGCGAGCAGCATTTCCACCATCTTTATTCCCCGTACTATACTGATCACTGAAATGTTAAGATTTTGAAGAAAACAAATACTATTCGCTCGTGTATGGGCAACAAAGATGGCGGACAGTAAAAACAAAAGCCAACTGAAGTGAGAATTTCTTCGCGAGCTCATTTGCATGAAAAGTTCCCCATCAACTTTTCTTGAAAAAAGGAGTCGGTTGGTTTAAAAAAAAAGTGGGATTGTGTAAATTTAGCGGAGGATCAACCTCCAAGTCTGAGGGCAGACTTGATGAGAATTACGGTTGAAAAATGGGTCCCATTATTTTGCCTGTGAAAGTGGAGGGATGCCATTTATAAACTGGCTTCATGCAGGCTTGGGAAGTATCACTTTTCGGGAGGTGAGTTTGTTTTTGTGTAAATATTTCAAAATGCAATTGGCTAACCACCAAACCTCGAAAAGAAATGAAAATACTAAGGACAAGGCAGTAATTTATTTTTTGTTTGAGAAACCCCAATGATGTCTGCTTGCATGTTATTTGGCCCTGAACTTTGTTGATTTTAAACTGTTTCCAAAGGGGCTTAAATTGTTGCAGTACATCCTGTATCTACGGTGCTGCTTAAATGGTATACCGCCCTCTACGTCAGTAAGTCCTCATCCCCAAAACACTACTCGTATATCGGGAGTACATAGGCCTACAAGTATTCCATAGTGTGTATTTGCCTGCAATTGGGGACCCCTACTGTCCCTGTTTTGTTTGTACATCAACTTTTTATGAAGACCACCCATATGTTCAGTACACATCGCCAAATCGAGGATCTTTCGGAGTTGGGGACCCTATTGGCCTCTTTTGTTCAACGTTCCCTATTGAATGCAGAGACAAACTCACCTTCATGGACGACAGATAATGCATGCCGCTGGCAATCTGACAGGCGAACTTGATGATCTGATTGGAGCTGATTGGTGCGACATGAGATTTTTGCCTCCATTCTCGCTTCTTCTCCTTCAGAAAATTCGCCAGGTTTCCGTTTGGCGCATACTCGAAAATCAGACAGTAGGGCTCTAAAAATAAGCACCGTAAAATACTTCAACGAGGACTTAACCGTAACTCCCTAGGCCTTTGTTTATAGGATGTAACCTTAAGCCTGCAGAATCCTCCAACTATCTCTGTGCATCCATCAAAATCAGCCACACATTCTTGCCATAGAGCCCCAATCCTGAACAAAAATCCTCCATTTTACATAAAATAATTTGGAGGATTTGGGCGAAGGTTAGGGTTAATGCCTCGTGGCTATACATTGCATCGGCTCCAATCAAGAACATTCTGAAACGCAACATTTCAACCGAACTTTCACATCTTCTTGAAGTCAAAGCTGAAATTTCAAAAAGCTGTGAGTGAAACAAGTTTAACCGAGTGAACAAACAAATCCGCCGAACACACTTTAACATATAGTACTCCACGCGGGTAAAGAACGGAAGTCTTCTTGAATTTTAATGTGCTTTGATTTTCACTGAATTAGAAAGTGTCCCGGGCAGCTATCAAAAGAGGGGTACTACTTTTCAGTATTTGAAACCAATAGAGTTGACATGCGCGCTTGAAAGGTTGCTCTCGTAAGGTCTCTGGCGATTTTGCTTTTACAGCCAACTTTTTTGATAGCCATGTGTTCAACTGTCATCCTTGCGCAAAGCAGTAAACATCATTTTTTTGGCAAAAAAAACATACAAACCCATACTGCCACGCGCAGAGGTGATTCAACCAATGGTCACTGGGAACTAGCTACCGGTCTCCATATTTGGGGGGGGGGACCCAGCTAGCTAGTCTACTTCTCAACATGCCATGGTCGGAGTATCCGTACGCATACGATCTTCGCTTTACCGTGCATGATGCCACTACATTGCCATTTTTTTAAAGGTGCAAAATTTGTTCTTACCCTGCTCCACGCAGCACCCAAGGGTCATTATGACAAACGGGTGTTTCTCCAAAGTTCGGCAGATGTCCACTTCCTTCATGAAATCACTTACTTCGCCTGACCTGGGTTCCCTAGCTAAAGTAGGGCGGGGGGGGGTGAAAAGTCAATTTGAGAAAACGATATAAGCACGCTTATTAGGCCCTATACCATGCAGTTTGGAAATGTAGTGCTTATTAGAAGGCCTATTCGGGTTCGACTGCCAGCTGGTCAGCACCGTCGCTAGCTCCGGGCATTGGGGGGGGGGGGCATAGTACAAACTAGGGGGCACATCACAAGAAAAAACAAATATATATTTACTCTTATGGTCTCTGCCGATGGGGGGGGGGGGGCAGTTGCTCGTCAGAGAGGCCGAGGGCCCGGCCCCCTGCCTCCGCTGAGAAATAAACTTAAAACGATAGATATTTCTCAGAATAAGTTTTTCAGTATCACATTTCGGGCAGTAGAGGATGATGGGTATAGTTTTTATCCAAGTTCGCAAATGATAATGTAAAGGTTAGTGCGGCTTTTCTATGCTTCAACCAACCTTTCAGCATTTTGACAGCCACTGTTTCTTGCTTGCCCTCCTGTATGATGCCATCCGCTAGCCCCTTGTAAACCACGCCGAATGCACCTTCGCCAAGTTTGTGGAGAAAAGTGATGCGGTCTCGTTCAAATCGTCGAGCGTTTGGGGCATTGTGCTCGGGGAGGCTGTCTTCGATCTCAACTGGCGAGTCATTCTGAGAGATGAACATGACCGACATTACTGTTTGGTTTTGGTTTGGTTGGTTAGGGTCAGGATGGATTGGGGTTGGCTTGGTTTACTGCGTTGGATAAGATGGGGTGGGATGGGCTGCTGGCTACAGTTTATGGAATTCATGGTTTAATTTGGCATTTTGAATTGGGTTGGGTGAAGTTTGCTAGATTGTGTTAGGGTCATGGGCGTCGCCAGGATTTTGTCTGGGGGGGGGGTAAATTTTTTTTTTGCAAAAAAATTCCTATATTTCTCAACACATTCTCGATTTATCAGTTTTAGAGGGGGCAGGGACATTTTACCTCCCCCCAACCCATAAAATTTACACCACTATGTCTTCGCGCCTCCTTTTCTTTTCTTTTTTTTTTTTGCTTTTTTTTTTTTTTGCTTTTCCGGGGGGGGGGGGGCAGGTGCCCCTTTGCCCCCCCCTCGCGACGCCCATGGTTAGGGTTGGGTTTGGATGGAAGGGGATTGGTTGGGATGGAATGGGTTGGTTTGGGTTAGGTTTAATTTGCATGCAATTGATTGAGAGGCTAAGGGTTGGGTTAAGTTGATGGGTGAGGCTGGTACGGTTGGGATATCTTGGATTCGGTTGGGACGGGTTGGGGACTGGATGGAATAGGATAGACGAGTCTGCATCTTATGAATAAGCTGGGCTGTAGTTCAAAAACATGATATCCTCAAAACTTTCTGGCCGGATGAAGACCTACCTCTCCCTGAACAGCCGATGATTGGTCTGGTTCGGGAGGTGTAATTGTACGTTTCTTCTTCCTCTTACGCGCAATCACGAAGTGTATGTACATAGCTGCTATATATGCTGCATATGCCAGGATGCAGAGAGCTACTAACAGTACGAGGCTGCAGCCGACGATGATTATAGTGGCGATGCCCACTGGAGTAGAGACAAAAACAACTTCCAGAGTAAAAGGTAAACACTTTTAGAACCACAGGTTTTAAAAACAACCAAATGTGTTCACTCGAAGTTCTAGCCAGCATGCTCTGGCCATCATTGTCACATTCCCTCCTATACTGCTTAGAACTTTTTGACAATGCTTGAAGAAATTTTAAAAAATGCAAAATAGCAAAATGAAAATGCATGAATCGGGATGCAACACTATGATGAGAATGCTCACAATTTTCTCGTCCTCTAAAACAAGACAATGCAAACCTATTTAAGCTGGTTCAAGAGTGCACGCAATTGTAGTTAATTGATTCAGAATGGTTATTCACTTTAATCTTTTCATGGATGTTTCTGCATAATAGACTGGATCCAGCCCATTCAGTGGTGTAATATTGTCAGCGACACCACAAAATAACACTCAAGTGAACTTGAGTTCGCACCACGCGCGCGTATTTTACAGAAAAGAGTGAAATTCGTTTTTACGAAGTAACACTCATGTACAATGTGCACGGAATCGGTATATTTCGTTTTCACGAAGTAACACTCATTTGTATTTCACCAGATTAAAGGCTTTTTTATTAATTTTTTCTGCAATCCTACAAGAATATGGAATAATCACATTCCTGTCAAACGTTTTAAAACGTTTTTATCCAAATAGTTTTTTCCGTAAAAGTGTTGTAGGCCTAACAATTTTTTATGAAAACGAAAATCGTTCGTGCCAGTGTCCGATGTGCGCCCACACTGGAGTGTTATACTTCGTGAAACCAAAACTTGCCATTTAGCGGTTTTCAAGAAGTAGCACTTACATGTATGTGCACTTCGATGTTACTGCGTGGTGTCAAGGGCGGATCCAGAAAAAAATAGGGGGGGGGGAGGCAAAAAAAATGGTCGCCCAAAAAGTGGGGTACACAAATTTACGGCGAGGGGTTATTTTTCTGGATTCTAGATGCTCTGTGGTGCAATCTAAGGCAATTTCTGTCCACTTTAACCATTTTTTTTAAGGAAAAGATGGCGGTCTTCGCAATGCCTGCCTTTACTACATCACTTGCCCCCCTGGATCCGACCTTGCTTGGTGTCAGTGACAACTATACGAGGTGTACAATAGGGGACAGTAACTCAGTCGGTCAGCCGGTGAGACAGGTGAGTGTACAAAGAGGACAATAGCCTGGCCCTCGGACCCAGTAAAAATGTCGCAGGATACATCACTGATAGGTTACCTGTATTTACACGCAGCTCCAAACTGATCTCTCTGAAGACGGTCAGGTTGTTTGGATGCAACACGCTACAGCGCAGGATTCTGCGGTGGTAGTCCAGCAGAGCCTCCAGCCTGACACTGCTGGTCGCGTCCCATCCCGCATCAAGAGTTTTGCTCACCACCGAGATCGCATTTTCAGGAGTAATAGCGGGGGCGCGTCCAGCGGGATCTTCGAGTGTCCAGTTGAATGTGCAGGGTGGATTAGAGTCAACTGATTGACATTTGAACTCGTAGCTTTGCCATGAAGTGAGTTCTGCTCGGCAGGTTTGGTTGCAGTTCATTGAGCTGCCACTCACAGCGACTCGTTTAGGTGGAACTTAAAACAAAAGGGAAAAGTGAAACAAAACAAACCTAAAGCCACAAACAAACGGTCAGAATGTGCTAATGTACTCGAACGCAAAGAATACCATAGACTGCCGGGAGGGGGTAGTCTATTATAGACCGTGGCTTTCGCCACGGTCTATTACATATGAACAGATCCGCTGATTAATCAGTCAAGACAGCCACACCTTGACCTCTAGATTTTGACCAATCAGCGGGCGCACTCTATGGTCATTCACCTTTGTTGCGTCTAGATTTGAATAAGAATAACCCCGCTAGAATCAGCAAATGGACACGCACTGCAATACGCGACACGCACGCAGCGGGCTGTTGTTGTATTACAAACACTGCATTCAAATTGACCAATCAAAACATTGGTCCTGATTTGGGAATGAAATAACGTCACGATTTAAGTAAAGCCGACTCCGTTTGGCTGGTGCACGGCTTGCATATATCTGCATGTTTTTTTTCTTCACATATCAGACGTTATACAGAAGACTTGGCTCCGTGGATAACGGGTGATACTCAGACTAGGGGGGGGGGTACAGCCAAATTATATCAACTAACAAGATGCAGTAACAAAATGACATCGTTGTATTAACTTTGTAATGGGTCTTGTGTGGGGGTGCATCAGAATTAAACGAACAGTAAACCAATGAGACATTATTTTAGGGTCGGGAATCGAACCTCGGCATCTGCATACTGTTCACAATACATTGTATTCGCACATCTTGTTCAACACGGATTTCATTGGTGTCATATCGTTTTGCATAAATATTTTGTTTAATGGCGCAGTCTCAAAATCTGGCAAACGCTTCTGTCGTAGGCCTACCACTCAATGAACAGCCATCATACTCACATGTTACATTCAATGTGATGTTCTTTATCAATGGAAGTATTACATTGTCAAGATGCATTCGGCACTCCAGCAGCAGCCCTGAGTGGCTTCTGTCAGGAACAAAGCTCAGATTGCTTGACGAGGCGTTGCCTATTGGTTCATCGATAGGCCGGCTGCCGTTGAGGAACAAACGTATGAGTTCACCGAGCTTACAATATCGCCCACTAGAACAGGTGAATTGAACGGGTATCCCCTCTACCAGGGCTGATACATTCCTGGTAAGGTGCAACTCGCAAGAGCCTTGAATGGAATGAAAATTAAAAATAGAGGCGAATTTTTTTTGGGGGGGGGTGGGTGGGGGCCTTAAGAGCATTATTAAGAAGCATGCATAGAATTAGAGTAAGAATTACTTGTGTTTGATATTGATCAATTAAAGTAAACCAAAAAGCTACTTCAGAAAGGCTTTTATTGGGTTCATATTATTAACTTTTGGTGTCCTAGTCCAATACAGCTCTTTTCACTCTTGTCGTTAGGAAACATAACGCTGGAGCGAGTACTCCACCCACTTTATGCACGATTGAATATTCACTGGAAATCTTTTCATGCATCTGGCCCATAAATAATGGACTGGCTTTAGGCCAATTTTGTGACATTACCGGATAATCCTATAAGATAGCACTGCCCGGCTGTCATCAATGTATCCCTTGAAATGTACTTTTGTGTTACATTTAACTTTATTTTTAAATCTTCACGTTGCCATTTAAGGGGCACGTGTGGTCCAGCAGTAGAGCATAGGATTCATGATAGTGAGATTGTGGATTCGAGCCCCGCCGTGGCCATGCGTGTTGTGCCCTTGAGGAGGGTAACAGACTCGCTGTAGAGATGTGGAAATCCCCCATTGCAGAATGTCATGGACTCGAGTCTGGTCCAATCGCTTCGAAAGAGAGGTGGGCAATCCGTTCCCGTGAACACAGGTTCATCCCCTTTACCTTTTGCCATTTAAACGCGTTTTGAGCATTTTTTATTTTTTTTATGCAAATGTAAATTGTATTCATGAGCAAACCTGTGATGTCATTCACGGAGGCAGTGGCGTAAATCTGTGCCGGGGACTGGGGGGGGGGGGGGGGGGAGGGGATGGGTGATGACTAAAACCACACAATTTCCCGGCCTTGAAAATTCGAAAAGCGGGGACACCACATGACACTAAGGGGCGCCGTTCATGATACAGATTTTTAACCTTACATCAAAACGGCGCATTTAAAGCTGTTGTACTTATTTTCCCTTTTTCAGTACTATTAAGTACATTTTGCTTGTTAGAAAGTTCGAAAATTACGCCTTTTTGTTTCTCAACACGAAAAAGTGGGGGAGGATATGATCCAATGGCCCACACACCCCCGGTCAAAAGGGGCTATACATACCCCCCCCCCACCCCCACAACGGATTTACGCTTCTGCAAGAAAGGAACTTCAAGTTTCCAGAATTTTAGGGGTAAGCTGTGATTATTTTCTGCATTCAATGGTTCGTTGTTGCTTCAGTGTATGTACAATGAGAAAACTTCATGCACACGTTTTCAATTAGCTGAATTTAGGGTTCACAATATTTTGAAGAGAAAAATCCTAATCTGAAGAGTGTAATTCCTAAAGTGACAGACATCAAGCAACATAGCCATCAGTTCAGGAGAAGCATGAAACATTCTAAACATTAACAAAAAAAGGGGCAATTTGGAATGTTTTATTACCTAAAAGAGGGGCGTCTCCTAGCTTATATACATTTCATGGATTTGCTACAAATATGTTCCATTATTAAATTAATTTCATGGACCCTTTAACCAGTCAATCGGTCGGTTGGTGGGATGGTCACATATTTTATAAAGGCTATAGAATGGCAAGCAAAGTATACCACGGTATACCACGGTAGGACCCATTCGTTTGTTTCTGGTTCGCTTACCTTTCGAGTTGCGTCCTCCGGATTTGCCTTTTCTGCCCAACAGATGACACTGGGGCAAGAACAAACCTGTCCAAAACAAAACAACAAATTCATATAATCAGTTTCTAATTTTTGTCAGTCTTGTTTGATGGCCACTCCTGCACACTTTCTTTTTTATTTCCAAGCTGTCATAGCAAAATACAAAAAGTAAAAAAAAAATGTTTAGTGTCCTGCCTTTTCGAAAAAAAAGGAAGGAGGAGGCCTTTTTGTTTCCCTGTAAAATGGCCGCCACACTGGGCTACTTTTCAAGATGGCCGCCAGCTTTTATTTTTTTTAAATGGCTACCACTTCGACTCTGGAAATGAAATATCATCTTTATATGGGCTAGATGCAACAGACAAAAAGGCCAAAGTGACACTCTGTACAATTCATATATTTTTTTTCGGTAAAAAAAGGCGGCGGCCTCCAAAAAGGAAGTGGGCGGGAACGCTAACTTGTTTTTGTTTATTTGGCCTGATAAGAAGTCAGTTTAATACAAAATATACTGGTTACCGCTACCGATACACTGTGGGGATTATTGTTATTAGTTTAAAATTTCTGAATGAAAAAAAGAGAAGAGGAAAAGGAGAAAACAAAACTAGACATCTTAAGTTATATTTAGGTTACGTTCACATTTCCTGTCCCAATTTCCCTAATGGGAAAAACATGCTATTTCTGCTTTCCACTAACTTCCTTGGGGTTTTCCCTCCTTCGCCGTCTTTCCACGAATTATGTTTTTCTTCTCAGTGTTGGTGCAATATTATAGGCCCAGGTTAACTTACAAATTTGCATGGACATGATGAAAACAAATTACCAACAAATCACACATTTCAGTCGGCATAGAAACTTATTTATATAAATTCCATTTATCCATTACGTTGTAATTGATTTTCTGAAAGCAACTAACAATCAGTGAGAGTTATTATGTTTTGGATTGGCTTTCTGGATAATTCTAACTCAATCTATGACATAGACTGAGGTCACACATAGCCCTACGAACTTATTGTCAACGCCAACCCAGAAATGAAAAAAAAAAGAAAAAAAGAAAAGAAACAAAAAAAAAGGTAAAGGCCTATAGAAAGAAAGTAATCTCGTAAAGTGGTCATATCAGGCCGCTTGCATTATATGCTATCAAGTTCTAATCTGTCTCATATAGGCCTACATATATCAAAAAGCACTATTCCTACCAGGACAGGGGCGGATTTAGCTTTCCGGAAACGGGGGGGGGGGGGGGGGAGGGGTTGTTGATACAAAGAGGGGGTTGATGTTAAGGCGTGCCAAATGCACGCCCCCCCCCCCCCTGACCCCCGGAAAACTTTGAAGTATGGGTAGAGTTCTCCTAAATGCTAAGGCAATACACGAATACATTTTGAAAAAAAATAGCATTTCATTTATTAGTTATGGCCCCATTTTACTAGTTTTTAATACATAAGGCAAAGAATAAAAAATAAAATTGCGACCCCACCCCATAACATGTATTTATCATTGGTAATTTAGCATTCCATATATTATTTGTGGCCCCATTTTACTAGTTTTTAAAACATAAGTCAACGAATAAAAATAAAATTGCAACCCCGTCCTCTATAACTGCAGGGTTGCAAAAGACAATACGAGAATATCAACAATATACTCTGACACTCACCCAATATCAAGAATGTAAACCAGATTGTATTCGAAGCCATGTTGAGGACTGTGTGGCTTCAACAGCACGAAGACACAATCTACTGAGTTGTATCTCCGTGAAATGCAATGCAACTGAATTTCAAGCCAGTTCTAATGCACATTTTCACTGCACAGAAGACACTGACACAGAGCGTCACCTCTTTTTAATGTAAGCCTATCTGTTTCGATAACATTGAGGTTGAAATTGCTCATTTCACTTTCTGAAGTTACAAGGAAACGAATTCACGCCAATATAAACAAGGCCAATTTCTTGGTAGCAAACGTCAACGGTTTGTAATCAAATGACTCGCAAAGCTCCAATATATTTCAGAAAATAAACAAAGATAAATGATTAATTATCATCCAGAGGTTGATTACAACATATAGGTAATAATGTTTGACATACAGGAAGTGGCAAAAAAACGACCAATAACGCTGGTACTAGATCACTAGTTCATTCATGCATCTGGTCTAAGCAATAGCTGGATTTAGGCCATTCACTGCCGGTATGGGTAATCATATACGATAGCACTGCCCGGCTCTCTTCACGAGTCTACAACCGGCTAAGTTACAAAGAGCACAATACAGATTAGCTGCCAGGTACCAACACAGAAAACCCAAAGTGAGTATTTTGACTCATTATCGTAACAAATGAGTCATTTTGTCCGTGTAGTGACACACTAGGGCTCAAAGTGTGTCACTACACGGACAGAATGACTCGTTTTCTTTTTAATTTGATGAGTCAAATTATTCACTTTTTTCTGTGAATAAATGCGATGTAGGCAAAGTGTAGTAGTAGATTTCTAACAAATGCACTCTGCTTTGTTCTGAAAGAACTTTTTTTTTTTTTAGTCTACAATATGAGTAAAAATATTACAAAACCCAAATGTTTTTAGTGAAGTTCTGCATGTAGCACTTTCAAAATCTAGGATATGAAAGCCCAATTCATAAGCTTTCTTTTAGTACAAGAATCATTCAAACCACTCATGTACTTTTTAAGTTTCAGAATTTTAAACACAACCACTGTTTTAAGGTTTTGTCCACGGATCACACAAAAAAAGTTCAGTGTTCTTTCAGCAAAACGAATGTAAATCACAGGGATATGTGTGAATTGTTTTCGTTTTGCTGAAAGAGCGCACACCTTGTTTTTTTGTGATCCGTGAGAACAGAAATTTGGTTGTGTTTAAAATTTCGTAACTTAAAAGTACACGAGTGGTTTGAATGATTATTGTACTAACAGAAAGCTTATGAAATTGGTTTTTATGTCCTAGATTTTGAAAGTGCTACATGCAGATTGTCAATAAAACAATAGTTCCGACATTTGGGTTTCGGGTTTTTTTTACACACCCTGTAAAATGATGTCATTGAATTTCAAATTAGCATCCAAACTGCTTGGTCAGTATATTCTCTCTTGTGATGAGGACTGAACGCCTTGCTATGACAGCTAATTTTAAATCAATCTACTGGAACATCAGCACTCTCTTACCAGTATTATGTCAAATGAAATAATCAGTATTCCTGAGGTTTTTGAGGTACATGTATTTAGTTTTCATGCTGGGCAAACATTTTAAATTAACAAGTTTTTTTTTCACAATAAACGTTTGTTTATACAATTTAACAATAAAATGACATGCATCGGAGCCACACAGTATTTTATACACTTACCTGCTTCTTTGTCAGACTGGCACAAAGACAAGTACAACAGTGATCTATAATTAAAGTCTGATTGTTTGAAGCCTAATTAAAGTAAGAGACATCATACATTTATCAATTCCATTAAATTCCAGCCGTGTGTCTTATTAGTTGAGGCACAGTAATAAAGAAATGTAAATTTCAGTCAAAAATTATGAATGTGAAAAATCCTAAATTTCAAAATCTTTTTATTTATCGGAGGGGGAAGGGGACATATTGCAATGGCAAGCACCATAATTAGGACCTGAAGATATTTACAAGTTTTACAATTCCCTAATTTTCAAACACTACCAATCAATTCTTTAGACAATTTCATTCATTTAAATGCAATATTTGAAATAAGTGCTTAAAAATCAAACACTGGGTAAAATAATCACGTAAGTTTAAGCCGAAGTAGAGTGAAACCATTGCATTGAAAATGACTAAAACGTTGTTGCTTTCAATTTCATATCGATATTTCATCCTATAACAAACATATTATTGCCGTTTCATTTCTGTTTTTCAGGCTAATTCATCTGCCTGTGGCACGATTATTGGCAGTAGTAAATCTGGATTTTTCTCAATTGACACTGAAACATGTTTTGATTTATTTGTTGTTAAAAATGATTTGTCCAGAGTCCCACAATGCACGTATTCATTGTATTTCATTTTCATATCTGTGTAACGAAACAATGAATTCCACTGATGATTTCTGGCTCCGTATATAAACACATCCAATCCACCTGTTCATTTTGGTCAGTTTTTACATATGTACATATTCCAGAAATATTTTACATTGATAGAAACATCAAGCCCGGGGCATGAGAAATCCATACAGGTTTACAACTTGCAATCAACAATAACAGTGGGGAATTTTAAGCTTACTGTGTTTTCCATTTTTCCTTTATTGTAAAAGTGTGAAATGACGAACGAGGAAATCAGCTGGCCCGAGTCAAAGGTGTATGCCTGTGCATGGGAAGATGTTGAAAGAGGTTTCCTTGTTTCGGAACCTGACTGATTTACATTGCAATTAAAAAAATCTCATAAAAAAAGGGCTTCACAATATATCCCTCTTCATCAGGCCATGAGATCAGTTTTCTGCAGCAGTTCAAGATTGAGTAATCTGTTCACTGCACAGGTACACACCCATATTCCTTGGTGGTTTAAAAATTGAAGTATAGTGCCAAGTGTGTTTGGGCAAACCCTTCTTAATGTAGTTTGTCGATGGGGATTAAACTTCATACCACTGTTGGGCAAATAACATTGCCAACAGTGTTTCACCCAACTTTTTTTTACAGTGTACGGAGCCACGGCGTTGGACAATTTAGTGGATTAACTCACATCACACCAGAACATAGTTGTCCAGTTTGTCCGACTCGCTCTTTTCGTATATTTTCACCGAGTGTGTTTCGTAAAGGGCCACTTTGAACTCCCCAAAGAAGCACAGCCCCTGCAGATCGCAGAGACTGGAACAGAAAGTCTGCAAGAGGTCAAAGGTCTCCACATCGTACTGTAGTATTCTACAGCCTGTGTCGTAGCCATTCACGGCGTACAAAAGTCCCGCGTGTACAGTTATCTGCTTGATACCAAAACTCCCAATGGGGTTCACACTGATCTTATTCTTGAACTTCATCATGTCGTAACCACTCTTGCTTCTCTTGAAGTGGTACTTCTGGATGGTGTCCTTTCCGTTGCTGACAAAGACATGCTTGGAGCCGTACGCCGTGAGGGTCGAGATGTTGATTTCGACTCTGAACTTCTTGATGTAAGTGGTGCAGGTCTCCAACATAAAGACGGTCCGGTCGTTCCTCTGACCGGCGAAGATAACGCCCAGGTCGTCCACTGCGATCTCTGAGGTATTAAATTGGGAGTCGGGGTCAACCTCGTTTGGGAAAATCGACTTGGTTTTACCGGTCAAGACGTTGACGAAGACCAATCCGCCTGTCTCCAGACCGACAATGAACGAGTGGGTATTAGGATGGCTTGCAATGCTGATGATGTTGTCCTGAGACAGGTCCGAGTCCTCTTTCATTGAGATAGAGGTAAAGTTTGCTGAGAAGCATTGTAGACCGCTCTGAGTGGCTACCACCAGGCCTCCGCCTGCCGAGGGTAAAACACCTGTCACCCCCTGCAAGGCGTCTCCCGATCCCTTCTGTTTCTTAGACAGCTTGCCCTTATATTGCCAGCGGGTCATCTCACCTGAAAAAAAAAAGTTTCCAGAAGGAGACTGAATATTAATCTCGTGAACTTAAAGACAACAGATGAGAAGAAAGCAGATCATATTTACACAAAGCTCAAATTGCACACGGTCAGAAATTCTTCAAATACGGTCTGATTCCCCAACCACCGTTTCCAAAGTGCAGACTTTTTTATCACTTAGTCATTAGGCTCGATCTGTTTGGTGGTTCAGCTCAGGCCCCTACTAGTTGTCACGAATCCTCTTGGTCCAGAATATCATGCTTGAAGCCGAACAACACAGGCTGGATTCGAACCCACGAGAAGGTAGAATGACAAGCAATGGCAGCCATTTTGAACGTTTTGAAAAGTGCTCCTTATTCTGCCGAAATATATTTCATTTTTTTTCAACGGACTAATCTGCGATAATGGCGCTATAGCCAAATATCTTTCACATGCCATACTCTGACTGTGTGCCATGTCACGCTTGTTTCATCAAAGGCACAATTTCCCCTATGCCCCAATGTGTTCAATTTTCGCCAGATAACAAAGTGGTGGATTAAAGGTGGAAATCTGCCTATGCAAAAAACTGGGTAATTGCTTCGAATGCAGTTATGTTTAGTACCTGTTATGTCTTGGGTCCTTCCTTTGTCGGTCTCGGCGTTTAGAAGACACATCTTCTCATCTTGATTATCTGTTAAATGCGAATCAAAGAAATACATAAATCAGCCTGAACACTGTACACTGTACGAAATAGGAAAGATCAAGTGGAGGTGGGCGAGCCATGCACTCTTCAAAGTCAAGAACAGATTTGACCATAAATTATTTGACCTGATACTTTTCAGGGTCAGAATTACATCCTTATGGGTCACAATGACAATTTTCTGGATGTTTGTCCATTTGACCCCGAAAAGGTGTATCTTTAACCCAAAAAAGTTTATCAGGTCATATCTGACCCGGTACTTTTTAAAAATGTACAGCTAAATTGAATAACAACAGATTGACGAGGAGGTTAAGAGGCTAGCATGCAAGAAACAGCAACTGAAGAAGGGGAAGACCACATAGGAGGCACGGTGGATGGATATTTAAACCTACAAGATAAAACAGTTAGAACGGGCCAGTGTTACGAAATGGTGCAAGAGCTTGGAGGAATGATCTGATACACCGTGCCCCCTGGAGACATGCACACAATAGGGACCAAAAGATTGTATACGTCTCCACAGGGCAATTTCTATAGATGAGTACGTCTCCACAAGGCTTTCAAGAAAAATATATATGGACTTTACTCAAAAGGTAGGATTTCCAAGTTATGTTGATGTGTCGAAAATGGCAGAATTTTAGAAAAGGGATATCAAGTCCGAATTTCAGCCCAGGAAATTAATTCTGGTTAAAATAAGAGCATTTTGAAACTGTACTTCCAAACTCGAAAACTTTAGTACACGAGAACAAAGAAATGTCTCCACAGGGTGTTCTGTTGTGTTGCTACATCCGTACTAACCTTTAGTTTTTCTCATCTCAATTTCTTCATCCACTTTGGTTCTTCCTCGAGTGAACCACACTCTGGATATGAGGTACACAATGCCAATTAAACACACCAAAGAAATAAAGGCGAGGACAATGATGACAGCTGTCAGAGCCAGATTCGGTCCCTTGGTCGGTGTGGCACCACCACCGTCATTTGTGTCGTCTGGGCCATTGTCATTGTCGGTTTTATCCTTTCCTGTGGCATTAATAGTGACGGGCATAAGTGACAGATTTGTTAGATCTTGGTTATACCTTTTTGACCTCAGGCTCCGAGTTCCAAAACAGGTGAAGACATGTCATTCTTTATTTTTTTCAATGGCAATTTTATGATATTTTTAATTACCTTCATAAGTGTGACTAATTAGTTGTTGTCAACCATTTGACATTCTACTGTACAACCTCAGTCAACCTCTGAAGTTTAGAGATAGTAACGGATAATCAAATGACCACTTCATTCAATCAATTAAGGCTCCATGCATGATTGTCATCAAAAGCAATTTTGTTGCTGATTTCGAGATCATCTGATGTTATAGATTATGGCCGAGAAAAGGACATCGAAAGAGCGTCCCCGGGTAGGTCAGCATAAGGTCACACTTTGCTGACCTTGTGACATGTCATCCTTAGAGTGTCCCTGAAATGACCTTTGCTTAGCAACACATTTTGTGTAACTTTCTACTCCTCTTTAAATGTATGAAAACTACTTGACATCCCTTTGTGGTTAATTTTATTCAAAAGTGCACTTCTTTAAACATTTAAAAACAATCCATGTTTTTCCGGACAACTGATGGCGCTGTTGTTGTGATGTCATTTCAGTAAAACAATGTTCAGTTTAGGGGTTTTCTGTTCAAATAAGAACCGAAAACTCTGCTCATTGAAAACATTTGTGAGAAAAGAATGCTCATTGGCTAACTGCCATGAACTGACACAACAAATCACCAAAGAAAAGGAAATTTACAACAGCAAAATGTCAAAACGTCTGGTAAAATTTTGAGCTGAAATAGCTGTAACATGAAGGTTTCTGCCTGAAATGACATCACACATTCGCTCATGCATATGGCAACTTGCATTAGCATAAAAACCAAAAAAGGCACCAAAAGACCCTTGGAAATGGCAAAACGAAAATTGAAAATAAGGTTTAATGGGAGACAAAAGGTGCACTTTTCAAGGATTGCATAAAAAATGCATTACATGGGCCCTTTGACTGGAACATTAAAAATGTACGTACCTGTGACAACGACGGTTACACTCGCTGATCCGTTGGCAATCGTTGATGATCCATTGTTTACCACAACACCTGTTGTCTCACATTCGAACGAGCAAGTGTCGTCTTTTTCAAGTTTCAGCCTGCCCAGATAGATCCCCTGGCTCACGTTATAGCTTAGGGTGTCCTCGTTGTAATACGACTGTTTATTGGACAAAAACCACTGCTGGGACTGATTGTTGCCGCCAGAGCAACCAATGAACGACCAGGTCAGGGTTGGTCTCGGGGAGGCATTTGTTACTGAACAATCGACTACCAGACGTCGCGACTCGACGACATTGCATATATCATCGTCTGAATTGCTGCATGGGGACACCACAGGTTCGGCAAGACTCGCTGAGCTCACTAATTGGAAACAAAAATATTCTGATTACGTTTAATAAAGAAATAAAATCGACCAGAAAACACCGTTCACCGAGACTGAAATTCGTAGATCATTGTGTCGGCAATTTCAATATAGGGTTTTGCCCTCTAGTGGCGTAGCAGGGGTGGGGGGGGGATTTGGGGCAGAGGCAACCTCCCCCCCCCCCCCCCGGGTTTGCCCATGGTGCCACCTATAGCATGCTGGTGCCCCCCTTTGTCTATGAACAAAATATTTGTCAACGAAATGGGAAAGGGCTATCGAAGTCGAAGCTGATCAGCCCTCAACCCAATAGGCTATATTAATTATCTTGACGCAGTTTGACATGAAGTGGTTTGCCAAAAAAAAACACCTCGATATCAACCCTAATGCCACCCACCCCGGAAGCTACAAAAACAAACATGTCAACAACTTGACAGGTAAGATGATGCCATTTTCGGTTATTGATTAGTCAAGATTTTAACAGCTTGAATGGCACCTCGAGAGCTAGCCGTGTATAGAGTTTAATGAGGTCATTGCAAGTCGTCACATTCTGTCACGAGTCATCAAAAGTCGCCCAGTTCCAGGTCAAGTGGCAAGCTATGCTAATGAAAACAAACGAATGCATTCCCTTTTAACCCGACTTGTGACTTGACGCGATCTGATTTGTGATTTACTGGTCATAGACTTGTTATTGACGTTTTAAGAATAGCTTGCCTCGTTGACCTGAACCCGACAGTCCCAGTTTAGGGTACTATTTTTGTTCATCAGAAGTTGCCAGTCAGATGTTTGGCTAAAGTCTTTCGGGTCCAGCCCCCTCCCCAAAGGCGGATCCAGAACTAAATTTTCGGGGAAAAGGCCATCCGGCCGTTGCAAAATCGAACAAAAAGATGGGGGTTGAGTGGACCTTATTTTGAGGCTTTGAGGCGCTCAATCCCAGTTTATCTTTATTATTTTATCAGTATTACTATTTCAACAATCCGTAGATGGAAAGAGGGCAAGTAACATCGATTAAAAAACATCTTTCACTCCCGGTTTAATTACCACCACCAAAAACCTTAATGTGGGATGGCCCTTGTTGGCATCCGACAATTGGATCTGCCTACGCCCCCACCTGCCTACGCCCCCCCACCCAACCACCCCCCCCCCCACAATGCACCCCCCCCCTACAAAAAAATGCACACCTACCTACAGTCACAATGACCGAACCCTCCTGTTGTTCACCAGTGTTCAGCGCCACCACTCGGCACCAATACTTTCCCGTATCGGTCGCCTCTACGTCCAAGATCCCCAAGTTAAAAGATGGAAGTAACTGATACTTCTCATTTGCCGTGGAGTTTACATCACCACTGCTGTCATACCGTATGAGAACGGTATCCAAAGCCTCCTCGAAGCTTTCTCCCTTGTACCAGTACAGAATGCCAACTGTTTCGTCTGGTTTCAGACTCACGCAAGGGATGCTAAGCACTGGGCTTCCAGCAGGAATGTACACATTTTGTGCTTCGGTGTTTTGTGTCAGGCAGGTTGTCACAAAGTATGCCAGACAAGATATTCGCAAGAGCCACATGGTTACTGGAGGATGTTTACCTACAATGTTGAAGATCGAAAACAATAATATTATTGGCATCGCAATCCAAACTTTCGTTTTGCATGATTCGTATGAGTTGCTGAATGTACTATGCCCTCTGAACTATGCCCATCCGTAATTGGTTTCGGCTCCCATGTGGTTTGGTATATGGGGTCTGCACATCCGCCATATTGGGAATCCATTAAAGGGAATGTACATCATTGGCTTTTGCTGTAATTTTCAGAAATGAACTATTTGAGGGGTTAGTATAATAGATCAAATATTGTTACACTGATATGTTTGAAATGTTGTGTTCGAAAATGCTGGAAAAACCAAGAAAAACAAAAAGGTTCAAGTAGTCTGGTTCCCTGACTCCACTAAAGATAAAAATGGATCAATTTATAGATGCCAGAAAATTGTTAGGTAAGGGAACCAGTCTAGCTGCTCTGCACCCGTTAATGAACATGTAACAAATAGCAAACACAATTTAGACTGAAAAAAAAGGGTAAACTTGGAGCAGTAGTTGAAAAATAGTTAGGTTTTTCCAACGGTGGTCGGCCGACCACCGTTGGAAATGTATACAAAAATACATTTTTCTTGAAAATGACTTCACACCTGGTGCCATAATTTTACAGGATGCTTTAGACTGTCATTTACCAACATCCTAGTAAGGCATTTTGTAAAATCTTGGTAGTTTTATTTTTCGATGTTTGCAAATGTTGTATATTCCCTTTAAACGTGGGAACTAAGATGAGTAATGGTTGTTGCTCGAGTATATTAAAGGTGACTGGGACACAATGATTATCACAACCCTGACATAGGCCAACCTCGCGTGTACATTGCTTTTAATTAAAATTGCGTTTTATGTGCACTGCAACAGATCGATTTTGTTTTCCATTAGGCCCAAGTGTTCAATTTAAATTTCTTTTTGCCATTTTTGGACGTCTGCAAAAAAAAAAACGTCTGGGAAAAAAAACAAGGGTTTTGTTTAGTTTTGAGCACCAACAGATCTACTTCGTGAGCAAACTAGCTTGAGTAACTCCAGCTCTAATGATTACCGCATTAGATGCGATAAGCATTAGAGCTGGAGTTACTCAAGCTTGAGCAAACTGGCTCTCGGCCCAAACGTAAATTATTATCGATACTTATTTTTGTGTGGGAACAATGCTCAAACATAATTAATCATTTCTAGAAGCCATTAGAATCTAATTTTAAAAATGAAGCTGGAAAATAGCACAGGGAACACAACTTACTATAATCAATAATAATACGATATGGTCAACAAACTTTACAAATACCGTGACATAAGCAGTAATAGTATAATACAATGTACTAGGCCTAATCAAAAGGGTACGTTTTATTTGTTTCAAAGAGTTGGATAGAATCTATAGGCATATCATTCTCATTCATAAATAAATGAATGACAATCAATAAATGTCTTAATTTGACTTCCAGGCACTAGTTGGGGAACAAACTGTAGCCAGTCAAATACAAGCGGTTTTGTATGCATATACTTATGTATAGAACAAGCTAGCGATGTAGTCCTACTCCTAGCCTACGTACACTAATGGGAGACCCCTTTCAATGTCGGAAATATTGTGCCAGTTATTGTTCAAATACAGTCACTGGGCGGCTGTTTTATACAATAGCTTGCACAATGCTTTCGCCATTGAAGGGGGCCTTCGTGAGTGTACAGTGATAGCACTGAAAGAAAAACCCACGGAATTAATGTAAAACGTTGATGTATACCTTACCTCTTTAGTAAAAGCCAATACAGTGAAGCACATGTACTTGTACATGTATTCGCCAATGCGGTGCTTCCGGGAACTGTTGCTCACTGGGGGAGATTGTACTTTCCGGAAAAACACAGTGGACATTAAATGTATGGAACGCCTTCCATGTCATAATGGAACTTCTTATAGTTCCTTCTCCAAATGAAGAAAAAAAGTATGCCGTATGCAGCGCAGGGATAAAATTATCGCAGGTGGTATATCCATATTAGTTTAAGCTGGGGCGGTGCACTGCAAAATGGATCCGCATGCACCAGTACGTACCTGGCCGTTCAGAGACTGCAATGTAACCAAAGGTCAGCGAACGGCAATTATGTCAATAAAAATTGTTTATCTAAAGAACATCGAAATACATCCTTGGATGATTTCAGAACTTAACCCTTAACCTCTACCGTAGATGCACGTACATCGAAGGTGGAATCTGTGTCGCTTGATAACTGAATGAAAAAAAACAAAACAATAAAAATACTCATTGTGGACTGATTTGTTGATTTGTATGGACAATAAATTGCAAATGGAACTTCGAATAAGGCCCACTAAATTATTGTAATCTGTGAGGGACATTTGATTGTTTTAAGAATAATTCCTGAAAACATAAGGGGCCTACCCCTGTCCTTTCCTATATGTTAGAACATCCCAACAGTAACAACGTTAGGCTAAGGCTATCAGGATATACACAACAAAACACCAAATAAAACAAAACAAAAGACTTGCGCACAATACGTCTACATTAAAAATAAAAAACGAATTTCAAATTAAAGGCATAGCCTACACGAAACTGTTAGTATTTAAAGCCTTAAAGTCGGACACAATCTTTGTGTGATTCATGCTCAAATGCAATAAGGAACTACATGTATATACGGACGTAGCTGTACGTACTCTGATTTGAACAACAGAAAATGCTAAAAAAAATATACAAATGTTTATCGATACCGGGATAAGTCTCAGATATGGCACTACACAAATACGTCAAATGATGGATAAGCCTATTTTGTCGCACTCAGGAACATACTGTGCATACATAGGGCAATTTCGTTGCAACACTTTATAACTCATACAGTTGAGCCGATGATCGATGACCGCACTCTGCAAATCTGCAACCTAAGATTATATTCCAAGATTCGGGGGAAAACTTGGGAGGATAGTATACAAAGAACGGGGTATAGCACATTATTTCCTCGACTCAGTGCTGAGAACTAGAACCGAGGTCACCGCGGCGAGCTGAGATGCAGTTAATCGCTGAAGCCAAAACAAAACTTAGGAAGGTGATGTTCATGTGTACTATTGGGCGTCGATAGCTTCTCAAAAGTGTGGACCGGGGGGATACCTTCCCCTGGTATTTAATATTGGAATAATGCGAGCGCGCTGAGCGTGAAGCCCACGGCGTGGGGTCCAGGCCCGCTTACGGGCTCCGGGGAATTTTGATTCTGGATGTAATGCTCTGTGGTGCAATCTGAGGTCACTTTAGCCAATTATATAGGAGCATTTTTTAATTTTTTTGCAAGGGAACATGAAATAAAATTTTGATTGCATTTTTTTTGCTTAAATCAATAAAGGATGATGTTCTTAACAATATTTTGTGTATGGCGGTTTTATTTTCTGGGATAAATGGGGGAAAATAATTTGTGAACATGTTTGGTCAAACTACTCCGCCCCACAAAGGGAAGCTTCATTAACATAAAACTTCGCGAGGGGTATGACGCGAATCAAGGCAGAGACTTGCCGCGCTGCGGGGGGCACCGGCATTGCGGCGTGCATCATAATACATGTACATATACATTGCGGCACTGAAAGTTTTTCTGGTGTTTCGTTCGGAATCGAGGAGAAATAACACCCGTTTTTCGGCCATGCCGACAAGGTGTGTGGCTGCTGGGTGTAGCAAAACTACCAAGGATGGAGTAAGCCTTCATTTGTTTCCAGTAAATTCGAAATATCGGCGCATTTGGAGAGCCAAAGTGAAGGTGAATACCAGAGCAAAGTGGTCCGGGCCCAGTGAGTTCGCGGCCCTCTGCGCTGCACTTTGAGCCGTCGTGCTTTGATGCTGGTCTGAACAGCAACTTGGGCATGCCCCTAAAAAAACATCGAGTCAGTGTCTGAATCATTAGAACTCTGATTCGAATCTGTACCAGTTTCATCGGATTCGCTAAGGAAAGAAGAGGACGGTCTTCGGAACTTTCACGGTCATGACGGTCGTCGTTGTGTTCATTCGACAACGGTGGCACCGTGGCACGTCCACGTGTGCATGTACTGTACATGTAGACACATTCGTACGTGTGCATATAATGCCACGTACGGGTACGCGGCGGCTGCACACATACACACAGCACAGTAGCTTCGCTAATCCGTCTTGTACCCAGACGTCATTTACGGGCCCTGGATTTCTCAGCCTTTGTTTACGTCATGAACAGCGCCCTCATTTGTGACCCACTCTGCAAAAATGAGTCTGATGTCGCATAATTTGAATTCAAGCTTTTGCCATTTTGAAATGGAAACAGTAAAAATTTGCTCAAAATTTTGATTTTTTGTTTTTGTTTTATTTTGGTTGTTTGATAGTTTTAGTTCAAATATCTTACACAGAAATGTAAATTTTGTAAGAAAAGGGGAAAAAATATGAATCTTTGGTGCTTTTCTTGGTTAGTTACAGTGTATTTGTCATTTTTCAAAGCCTTTTTTCTCCATTGAGACCTTTCTAGCTCTGCACAAACTTTACAGAATGAAACAAGCACAACAGTGCAACCAAACGTCCTAGAGAGGTCCATGATATACCAAATGGAAACTTATTTCATTCCCATTGTATTAATGTAGTTAACTCAAAATGTCAGTTTTGCCACAACAGACTCATTTTTGCAGAGCGGGTCACATTTGGAGTTGCCGCGAAAATCAAAAAGGGGGGGGGGTTCAATTTTGGACGGCAAATTACCACACTAAACGTACACCAGAACCAGTTCTGCTTTTAATTCACATTTAATACACATAAATTAATGTATATATAAAATAAAATACGTTATGAAAAATTTGGACTGCATGTTTCCTTTAAGTTCAATTGAAAATAGGTCTTATATTGCTCTTTCTATAGGTTTCATCATTATTACGTGGGAATTATGTATTTTGACTTCAATTTTCTCCCTTCTTTAGGGGAGAAGAGATTGGCATGTTTGGCGTAGTTTTAATATTTGTGGATGAAATTAAGGATGCTCTTTAGTGTTACGCTCGATGTCAAGATATGCTTTCATAAAATGCATGAAATTACCCTCGTTAGCTCTGCACTCTGCAGTAACGGTAAATGAATCAACTGGAATCAAATACACGCCAATTTGTATTCGGGGACAGCAAACAGTTTGTGTGTGTGGGGGGGGGGGATTGATATGCCACTTTAAAAAGTGGAGGGGGCGGACATGTTCGATGACATGGAGGTACATGCTGGACACAAAAGCCTTAGTGACTCACTGAGTCCGTGCTCAATCGGTCAGTGAGTCGCTCTGTTGGTGACTTATCTGTCCATGCAACCATGGGTTGTAGCGCTATGCATGGAGCAAGGAACAAAAGGAGTAAAAACTCCCCTACTTCAAAGTGATTATAATCGTAACCGCGCTCGAAAGCACCTGCCATAGACAAGCTTAGGCTTATTATGGCTTGAATTAATTGCTTTGTCATTTACGATTTTACTTATTTGTTTCTCCTAGACAAAATTTATATATTTTATAATTATTTTCCTTTATCATACATGCTATATGAATTGTATTTTGTTCATGGTTGGATATATATAAATGTTATATTGAATTGAATTGAATTGAACAATAGAAAGCACCTGGCGGCAAGCTCACTCAGTTGCCTCACTAGAGATCCGCGCTCACTGTGGATTGCTTTGTGGAAAGCACCATGGTAATGCGCTGCCGCAGTTGTACATCGCCAAAAATGAATTATTTTCAAAGCAGTTTGTTCGGAGTTGGCTAATGCTGGCTCACAATGTGGTCAACATTACTGAAACAATCATTTCATGACTAACACAATATGCTCCGTGCACATTCCGTAGGAAACCTTAAGAAATTTCCCATAATGTCACATTTCATAAATAATGTATTGCCAATAATACAATTCGAAAATACATATTAACTTATCGGGGAGAAATCAATTTCTCTTGAAATAACAGGAACAGATAGCGCTTTCAAAGACCAACAACTGCACATCGATAACTTGATTTCATAACTCACATCTAACAACTGTGCAGTTGTTAAAACCTTTTTTTTTAAGAGCAACGACGTGACAGACTTATAGGGAGGTTGTTGGTTACTAAAACGTAAAAGGCGGTGACGATCATTGTGTTCAAAGGCCGATCGCAGTCACGCAATGAATGGTCCAGGCTCAGCGGTCACAGTGCTTTAGCTATGGACATCCCCGAGGGATCGGAATATTAATGGTAAAAAATGTAAATTTGCCAGAGTTCTGACTCCTTCTGTTCCTTGCTCCATGATGCAACTACATGTAGTATTATTATCATTATTATCATTTATTCGGCCAAATTGCAAACTACAAGAAGCAATCCACAAAAATAAGCAAAAAAGTAAACAAAACAACCCAATCCAAGCTGGCCAGGATTGACAAAAGTATAATAAAACACTGTGACTCGAAAGACTGTCAATCCTAACTTGAATGGTAACATACAAAAATACATTGAAACATCGATATACAAAGTTGAATGAAAAATAAGACCACATTAAAAATAAAGTTTAAAGAGATAATTAGATTAAAAGTTAAAAACATTCAAATTACAAGTTTTCACGGGAAGAATATTGTAAAACATAACAACATGGATATTATACCAAGGCTGGGAAAACAAACAGAAAACAAAGCAAAACAAACAAAACAAAACACAACACATCACAACACAACAAAACAAGACCTATGGTCTTATGGAGCTCTATGATGCAACTATTAATGCTGGTCTTATGGGAAACCCAGCCCTGCTTAATGGGCTTGCAGGCCTCTACTGGATACTTTCATGCATGCAGACCTCCACTGTTGCACTTATTGGATCAGTAATTGGGCACAAACGTTTCATGTAATTACAATGGATACCTACCGCCACACTGTTTCCACTCGTGCTGGCTAACAAAAAGACACTACCTTTTGACCACGTATGGGGACAATGAAGAGCACGAGCTCCGAGGATGCTGGACCTGCCCCAGTCATGAATGCATCACGCCGTCTTGACATGGCGCTGGACCGCACCACTTGAATGCAGGGGTGAGCAAACCAACAAAACTTTCATTCCGGACAAAATAGAAGGGATTCTTTGGCAGTACCTATGCAATCGAATGGTGTCTACATTATCTAACCTTTAATAAATGTTAATTAATGTGTGTTGGTTTGTAGGTTGATTTGGATTGATTATAGAAGTTGACCAATTCTTGAATACTCACCGGTGATAAATAGTCGGTGCCTTTACTAGGTGCGCGCCAATTAAGATGATATACAAATTCGCTATTGTAATATACTTCCCTAGTCTGGAATTTTAACTCCCACATATTCCAGCAAACAAGATCCAGGCAGCAAAGGACGAGGACGTTGTTTTCTGTTCTTTCGTACTTGCCTTCACTTGATATTTTCCCAGACGCCTGCGTTATTAAACATTTCCGGAGAATGGAATTTCAGAACACCACCGAAGCGGGCCCGGCCCAGCCTTCGACGGGAGGAGATGACGCTTTGGCCGGCATCCAATCTTCCCTCAACTCGCTTCAGGTCAACGCTGATACCTTCTTTCTCATCGTAATGGCGTGTCTTATTTTCTGTAAGTAACAGCTCAATTCAGATGAATTCATGCATTATTTTCTCATATTAATCACAAATGAAAGTAAATACGACTACAGTTCTTTCAATATTGAATTCAGCGAAACACTCGTGATAAGTAAATTCATGGTGAATACGATAAACGACAAAACCAAAAAAAAAAGAGCAACAAAACTTTATTTACATACCATTATTATTTGAGCACTATTTGAAATAAATTCAGTTATGAATTTAGTGTCCACACCGTGAACGCATGGCGGTTGTTGATCATCTACTCGCCTGTGTTTAAACATGGTTTAAACAACAAATTCATTTTAAAACGTAGTACAGTCGACTCTCGTTAGTACAAACTCTGTTAATACAAAATTCTGGTTATAACAAACATAAAGCCTTAGTCCCGACTGTGCATTTATGTACACAATGAATGGGACTGATGTTCCTCTTAATACAAAATTCTGATATAACAAACAATTTGGCTAGGTCCGAACGAGTTTGTTGTAACGAGACTCGACTGTACATGTATCTAAAATAATGATCGGAAATTCCTCACAAAGTTCCTCACCAAACAATTAGCCTAATTTGAAGTTGAAAAAAAAATTCAATTTGTTGGAAGTAAACAAGAAGTAATGAACTCTACATGCACATTAAAGTAATAAATATGCAGGCAGAAACGTTGCCCACTTTTTCTGTAATTTTGGAGAAATACAATCTTTCGTTATTTCTTACAGTTACCTGTATTATTTCTATTGACAGTTATGCAGTGCGGCTTTGCATTCTTGGAGGCTGGTTCAGTTCGCAGTAAAAACACGACCAACATTCTCATCAAGAATGTCCTGGACGTTTGTAAGTACATCAATTTTACTTTTAAAAATTGAAATCGCATCAAACTCTCGTGGTTTCTGTTTTGATTTGCCACTTCCATTCCGGAAAATATATAGACAAACCTACAATGCGTTAAACATTATGAAAAACATATTTGTATGTTCTGTTAATTATGAATGGCAATTCATAATTGAATTTTCCAAAACATTCCCAATCTGCCTGTCTGTGCTTTGTTTTCTCCACTTTTTGAGGGGGTGGATGGGATTGGAATGTTGTTTTGTTTTGTGTGTGTTTATTTATTTTTTTTTTTTTAGGGGGTCATTCTTAGTTTCAGACCGTTGTCGTGTAACTGTAGAGGCCGGTCACTTCACAAGAAAGCCAATTTGATGTTACGAATCACTCGCAGCGATGACTTCAGATATTCTTAAAGGCATAAGTTTGAAGTAGGGCCTTAGCCGTTCAGTTTTTTTGGCTTTGTTCTGTTTTGTTTTTGATTGGACTTTTATTAGTCTGATATGCAATTTTTTTTTTTTAAGGGTTTCTTGAGTTTATTTGTTTTGTTTTTAATATGCATCCGACAACGAAATTCCCTCCGTCTTGTGTCCGTGTCTAACAGGTATTGGCGCCTGTGCATACTGGGCGGTTGGGTACGCCTTCGCGTTCGGTCCGGGCAACGCCTTCCTGGGACACCGGTATTTCTTCTTCGAGAGCATGCCGCCAAGCCTGTACTCTCACTGGTTCTTTCATTTCGTGTTCGCTGCCACGGCGACTACCATCGTGTCTGGGGCAATGGCCGAGAGGACAGAGTTTGGGGCGTATCTCATCTACAGCTGCTTCATCACCGGTAAGGATAAACAATTTCAAGAATCAAGAGACCCATGTTTTACTGTGCGGGATATCCTATCAAGGAGTTTGCACAGTACATGGGCGTCGCGAGGGCACTCCCCCCCCCCCTCCCCCCTGGAAAAGCAAAAAACAGAAGAAGAAAGAAGAAAAAAACGAGAGAAAAAAGAAAAGAAAAAGAGGCGCGAAGTCATAGTGGTGTACATTTGTAAACATAATGGGTGGGGGGGGGGGGCAAAATGTCCCTGCCCCTCTAAAACTGATAAATCGAGAATGTGTTGAGAAATACAGAATTTTTTTGGCAAAAATATGTTTTGCCCCACTCTAGAAAAAAATCTTGGCAACGCCCATGCAGATACAGATAGTGGTACCTAGTCGATATATCCGGTATGAATCCGTTCACACGGCTTTCAGCCCCAAGTCAACTCACAAGATGTGACTGGACATGCAGATTGATTTGCATGGATTCACTGAGACCAGACTTATGGTATACTTGACGTGATGCATCGCAAGCACCTCGACTATAGGCCTAACTCTGTAAAAGAAAAGAAAAAATGGAAAGCAAAAGACTTGCCAACGGCGGCCGTCGAAAGACTGCTAACCCAACTAACTCATAGACGGAGGTAAAAAGGGACAAAAGAATTGTTCCACAGGCAACAATAAGTACAAGTTCATTCACAGCGAAAAAAATGAAGTTAACAAGATAATGGAAACAAAATGCAATCAGACAAGAAACGAAGAATGATATTTGCCTGTATAACTACAGCTAAACACAAAATACAGAAGACTATTTTTGTAACTGATTGGCAGGTGTGGTTTATCCCATCGTAAGTCACTGGGCGTGGTCAGGAGAAGGCTGGCTGGCTGCAGGACCAGGAATCGAGGGCGTTGCTTACCAGGTGAGACAGAGTACAGAAAAACTAAAATTGTAAGCTTTCCACGAAAAAGTCATTGGAAGTTTAGTAGATGTTGATGTATGTTTGTATTTGACAATTTCAACTACTGTCCAGCCGGGAGGTACCGACTTCCCGTAGTCTATGATCCAGTTACGGGATCACGTGTCCGCAAAGTTATGGGATCACGTGTCCACACGTATTATCCTGCTGATGAAAAACATACTTCTTGGTCGAAATTTCGAAGACTTTTTTTTTTTAGAGCAACCGATAATACTCAGTTTTAGAAGTGTATGTGGAATGTTTTCTGTATTTCACCAGAAGAGTATAATTATTAACTGTTTTTATGTGTTTAATTTTCAGGACTTCGCCGGTAGCGGCGTGGTCCACATGGTTGGAGGAATGGCCGCGTTGATGGGCGCTGCAATCGTTGGTCCCCGTCTGGGGCGCTTCGACAAAAAGGGGAACCCAACTACTATCCCGGGCCACACTGTGCCGGTATGTCATCTTAGGAGATTGTGTTTAAATTTGGATGCTGGTATTGTTAAAACATCTGATACAAAATAACAACTATAGGGAATTCCGAAACTCTTCCCAAATCATTCGGTTGAGTTCAACATTTAGAGTTTGCGGAATTGTAATGTATGAGGCCTACAGTATCTTTTTTCTCATGTTATGGACTTTCCATCGGATTTAAAGTTCCAGGGCAGAAAAATGATTTGAATAAAATTGTGCCAATGTCTCCCTGCTGAATAAACTTCATCTCACTGCAATACACTGTCAAAGCGTTTTCTTGTGTTCAAACAAGATCTGTAGTCGAGCTGGACCCGGTTGTCCGAAGGCATTATTTAAACTCGGTGACACACTGTTGGTCAGATGATGTAGGCTGCAGCCCATCCGAGCCACCAACAAAGAACCGTCATTGCATCATCCAGATTAAGTAATTCAAGAAGTAAGAAATAACTGAATCCAAATGTTTGTACCTCAGTCAGCTTTTGTTTCTCATGTGTATACTACGGAATGTTGCAGACCAGGAAGAGTGTTTCCTACTGATGGTTTTTTCTGTCTTTTCTTTCTTGACAGTTTGCAGCTTTGGGCGGGTTTATCCTCTTCTTCGGTTTCTTTGCCTTCAATGGCGGCTCTCAAGCAAGCATCTCTCAGCCAGGTGATGGGGAGGTTGTCGCCATCTCCATAGTTAACACAATCATCAGCGGGGGTCACGCGGCTCTGGTTGCCATGGTGATCAAGAAGCTTGGGTTCAATGGGCAGTGGAGCCTGCTGATCACTATCAACGGAGCACTGACAGGAATGGTAAGGTTGAATTCAGTCTTTCTGGTTCTTACTGGAAATACGTCGGTGGGCTGTTTCAACAGAACTCGTGGTTAAGATAGTGGGAGGGTTACATACAACTTTTCAAAATACCATGATAGAAAATCTAAGCAGGGTAAGACACTTGAAATTGCCAAATAGCTTATTCTGTTGTCCTTCAAGTGAAACTCTGATAACTCAAAGCAACTGTTAAGTCAAACAAAGAATTCATTGCCTTCAGTAGTATAACAATGACATACGACCCTGCTTAACTCAAAACTCTGCAGGAGTCAAATTTTGGTCCGGTTCCCTTGAGGTTTGACTTATTGTATTGTTCTCGGCACAACACTATTTTGGCTGAGAGGTTTGCAGAAATCAATCTAAAATACGGTGAATATACAAAACTGACAAGAGTTAGATACTTCGGATTGTTGAATAGCTTATTCCGTTGGCCTTCGAGTGACGCTCATTACACTTGTTCCAAACAGTATAATCGTCTGCGGCTGTGAAGTGCCAAATGTCTTCAAGCTAACCAGTATCTTACAATACCTTGCCGTTTAAGGCCGTATCTCAAACCCCGGCCCTGTCTCCGGCTTTAGGTATATGCCGGCAACGAATATAGTTTGGCAACGAACCCGTTTTATGGAGACGAGGCCGGGATTGAGAAACAGCCAATGTCCGTCACAATATGAAGTTATGGATGGGATGAAATGCTTCCTTTACAAATACAAAATAACATTAAATCACATTTGTTCGTGTACGTGTCGTTGCTTTAACAGGTGGCCATTTGTGCTGGTTGCAATGCTCTGGCACCGTGGGGCGCCGCCATCGTCGGTATTGTGTCAGGTGCTGTCTATGTCTTTTGGAGTTGGCTGGTGTGCAAGCTGAAGATCGATGACCCATTGGATGCCGTGGCAGGTAAATAACCCTATGGTTCAACTCTATTATGCTGTGATTGGGAAGGGTTAAACATAGTTTTACAACCTGCATTCTTTGTTATGCGGTCAGCCAGTCAGCGCCGACTCCTCGCTATCCCTGTAGACTATTAATTGTGAAAGTAGGAGATCTGGTTCTGGCTCTGGTGGTATACTGCATAATCTCCTCAGCGGGGATGTAATATGCAGGCGCGAGGTGACTGAGCAGATATTTACATGAAGTGGGCCCCCTGATGATTACATTCTGCAAAAGTTATTGGGAATAATGAGAACTTGTAGCAATCTTTATGTGCGGATGGTTTGATGAAAGAGAGTTCGCTGCCTGTTGTCTTGTGGAATGGTTAGGTTTGGCCTGGTATGAGTCCGTATTGATGACGATTTTGTTGACGGATTTGTAGAGGAGGGTCAATCTCTGGACAGCTCTGATGTCCCAAGGGCTCCCATTCCAATTGGGACAGCATTTTGGTGACGCTCTCCCTCTTTGTGTTGTTGTTGAGGACAAATCTGGCAGATCGTCGCTGAACCCCTTCCAGTTGTAATTTATGTTCCTTATGGTGGGGATCCCAGACTGATGAACAGTACTCTATCCTTGTGACTCGGGCACGCCCTCTTGTTTGGACAACAGTGTCTCACTTGCTTGTTTCTTTCTTTTTGCAGTTCACCTTGGTGGCGGATTGTGGGGTGTGTTCTCTGTTCCACTTCTCAGCTTCGAAACCGGCGTGGTCTTCACTTGGAGCCAAGTTGCATTCACTGTAAGTCTCGACTTCTGATTTGTCAACCTATTTTAGCAAAACTCAAGCGATGTCCAAGTCTTTACCAAGTTGTAGTATGGTGAAAGCTTGGCTTTGCAACATTTCCGTGTGATCAGAAGTCAGTTTTGTGTTGTGTAGATCCCTGAAACTGGTCCCTCATTCTTCGCAACAAAAGTATGCAGTAATGAAACTAACTCTAAGATCCGAAGGACTAGTGATTCAGATCCAAGAGAAAGAAGGAAGAAAAGGTTGTGTAAAGAATTGTTTGTCCAACTTTTTGCAGAGTTTTGGTTGGAACATCTTAGGTGCGGTAGCCATCATGTTCTGGACGGGAATTCTGACGGCCGTCTTGTTTGGACTGATGAGGCTATTTGGCATTCTCCGCGTATCGCCAGAGATTGAGGAGAAAGGTAAATGTCGTTTATTTAAATACAATTACATATTGTACATTAAGAATCAAAGTCAAGAACCTATTAAAAACATTAATGGTAATCATCATATTTCTAATACTACTGTTGTTGAAACACGATCTGTAAAATATGAATGCGTACGCTATTATACATGTATATAAGATATATACTTTTTTGGATTTTGACGTACACATCATGCATCCAATTTGCCGCTTTTGAAAGTTTTACTTCACTTGTGAAATGTAGACTGAAGGTGATTTTTGCAAATAGTATAGTCTCTTTCTTGCCGTTTTCCTACCAGGACTCGATATTGCTAAACACGGTGAACCTGCCTACCCACTGTCCAGCTACGGACACGGCTGGTCGAGCGAGGCTAACCTTATTGAAGTCAAAGTTGACGGAGATGGAAGCACAGCTGAGAGTCTAAATTCAAGTAAGTTCCATGCAATTTACGATTTCAAGTGCGGGATCGGGAATACAATTCTCAATAAACAAATACACGCAGTTTAACGTTCAACAAAAACGAGCAAATCCTGCACAATGTGCTTTTAGTTTGAAGTGTGCATTGCCATTCTTCAAACCTTTACTGAGACCAGTATTTCTTTAGAAACTTAAGGGTTAAGCAACATTTTAACCTGCGCCGTACAATGTTATTCATAGACATTTGAAGACTCTTCAAAAAACTGAGCAGGAAAACAAAAGTTACAACTTTATATAGACCCGGTTCCTCTTTTGTTTTTGGAAATCCCCTTTTAACGTCGCTACTATAAATGCTATACTAACCATCAAATTGGGCTTGTTTAAAACATAACATTTCTTACCTTTTGTCCAGGTTTCGTGAAAGACGGCTGCCATGGCGTTCTGCCCGCTCAAGTTATTCACGCCTCGCTCTCGGAGCAAGAATCGGTAGAAAATGGCGTCGCAACGGTAGCAGAGGAAGCAAACATTTAAATCACTATAAACTAATTTGGCTTGCCGTAGAACTCAGCCCAATGAAGGAATCATCAATAATTCAGCACATATTTCAGCCATCACTCCAAATTAGAATTACAACAAGTAAAAATGTCTCGAGTCAAATTGTCCTTCTGATAAAACTCGATTCTCTTTTATCTGAAACTTTATTACCGAGTAAATCTATTTTACGTTTAGAGTTTCACGTGCCGTTCGTTTATTTGTACTTGAATAAACAATGTTTTCTTAGTGAAACACTTTACATCTCCCTTTCTTATTGTAAAAAATAGATACATTAATAAGGCTTCATGTTCATGCTGAACGCAAAAACCTATAGGGCCTACTAGCTTTATAGTCACATTTGTGAAACATATGTTTCGCTCCATTTTCCTATTAGCGGCATTCACTTAAAACAAAGTCATCTTGTCTTAATATATATTCATATTTAAAAGTTCTGCTTAACGGACTGTTTAATTGATTATACAAACCGTACTCGCTTACTTTCTTTTGTAAATAGTGCGATACCTTCCTATTTTTTGTTGGTAAGTTTGAAGCAATGTCTGTACACATGCGGGAAATTCGATTTTTTTTTATTTGATATAATAATGCACATGTCCTGCTCTATGACCGGTTAATGTTTTGTGTTCTATTGTAAACCTTTGTTTTGAAACGGTCTGGAAGTATAATTTCTCAGTATCATGGGCGAAATGTGACCTGGCTTTGACTGGTTGCATAATTGTTGGCCGATCTGTTACTTGTTAGACATGTTCAAAATGTTTAGTTTAACTATTTAGTACAACTTTTTTTTAAAGTTGCATTTTTTTTTACTAAATTGTTTTGATTAGATTTTAAGAGAATGTTGCAATTTTATTGTATGTATTGCAATTTATTTAAAGGGTGTTTGCCTAATATTCCATATTCTTGTTGGGTATATTTTCTGTGCATGTACATGTATCGTGTTTATACCGATTTAGACTAAAGTATAGAACTGCGATCCATTTCATCAATCCCTCATTTGCATGGGCGTCTCCAGGTTTTTTTTCTAGGGGGCGGGGGGCGGGGGAAGCACATTCTCCACCCCCCCCCAAAAAAAATGATTGGCGCATTAGACCTAGGCCCTATAGACTATAGACCTTTCTGCGCTTGGTTGGGAAACTGCATTTTTGCCAACCACGGTCTACAAAACTATGGAAGGTCCAACATTGCAAAAATGAAGAAAAGTTATCACAGATCACCAAAATATTATTTGATACTTAAAAATACTACATGTTCAACGAAGCTACAAAATAATTCCTACACATGCCTTTTTAATATGTGTTGATGGCGTTATGACTTTTTTGGAAAAATATGTTGCCAACCGCGGCTTCAATTGATACGCTTACGGCAGCCCATACAAAATGGCGCCAATGTTTACAAACAAAAGACAGGCCTATTACATCCTCGATTCGAGGGCCGGTTGAAAGGATTTATTTCAAGAAAGAGAAAACGCCGACATAGCCTTTTTTCGGGGTTGGCGGTGAAACACGCGGTGGTGGTTCGCGGGGGGGGGGGGAGGCGGGGCAATTTTGTCTAGCCCCCCCCAAAAAAAAAAATTCACTAGCAAAATGCCTAAGAATGTGACGTACATGCGAACGGTCTCCGCCTAAATAGTTAATAAAGTGTGCCAGCTGATAGGATTTTATCAGCGCTCCCCATTGAAAATATGGCACGAGCCCCAAAATAACCGGTCTACATTTTTGCAGCACGCCTCTCGGAAAAAAATCTGAATCCACTGTGCTAGCCCCCCCCCCCCCCCCAAAAAAAAATATTGGCTCTATATAGAACCGCGCCTGGGAACACGTACAAAACAGGTGCCACGATATAGCGAAACTGAAGAGCTAAACTAACCTTCCAAAAAGGCAAGGCCAACTTAAAACTCGTATGGGCCTAAATACGATTCAACGTTCATTTCAAAATTTTAAATGAAGGGACAAAACAAATACACACAACAAAATGGATAATACTTAATAAATATTTGACAAACATTTAAGATTTAGTCCGACTCTGAATAACGAACCTTACCTTTGTGTCGGCGTATGGACCGTACTTCGGTTTCGTTTCGTCTGCATCCGACACTTTTGATATCTTCACATTTTACTGTCGAAAGCCGATCCATCTGAACTGCTTTTGTACCCTTTAACTTCCGAGTTGCAAAGCTCGTTCGGAAAATTTTCTGTCACGTATTCAACCTCCAACTGTTGTAAGGCCTGATCTGATGACAGCATGGAGGAAGGAATTCCTTTCTCCATCATGTCCATGATGACAGCAAGCCTATGTGCGCGTGCACTATGTGAAACAGGGTAAATACCTTGTGTTTATGGGATTTTTTTCTCTTTGAAGAAACCAATCTTAGTGAAGTTAGTCGAAGTGTCTTGAGCGCACATTCATTCCCATGTGCCTCTATAAGTTCCTTTTAAGATTTTAAAGGTTTTGCAACTTTCTAGAATCTAACACTCCACTTTTTTTCTAGTGTTTCTTAATTCTCGAACACAGCCAGAACTTGAAGCAACTTCGCAAACGCGTGGCTGAGTCTGTTTGCTTGTTCGTTTTTAATACCTCCGCTACTTGATTGGTACGGCCAGCCGTCGCAATCAACGTTTCGTTAATCAATTAATTAATGCAATAATGAACATGCAACCAAATGAATGTGGAATTGGGGGAAAAAAATATTTCTAAACAACTCTCGCTAGTAAATATTGTCAAGTGGGTGAGCCAACCGAAAAAATCAGACTTGCAGTTCTAGTTTGTAGATGGATATTTTCGTTGTAAATTGTCAAAATCCAATGTATAACCATATCAATAACCTAATATAATGGGCCTATTTGGAAGTTCCCTTTTTTAACTAGGGGGTTGCTACATAAGGATATAAAAATACGCTCATAGAAAAAAAGAAGAATATAACGTATAAATTCGTTTAAATACAATACGGTGGGCGTGTACATATGCTTCAGCCCCCTCTACTACCCTCTACTACGGAGGACGTGGTCGGCCACACCCCTTGGTCAATTAGATGACTTAACATTCTTCATACCACTATTGCATAATTAGCATACCTGACTTCATAATGTTACAGAGCGCGCACCCGATTGCAACGTGCGTCCTGCTTGGGGAGTAAACTCTGTGTACCGGGAATTACAGCTGATTGTCATGGGGCGACTCACAGGCGTGGAGGGGAGGCGTGTGGCGGTAGCCGTAACAATCATCCTCGTCCTTCTCGTAAATTCTGTCTTGGGTTGGGAGGTAAGTCACTGCAGTGTGGTCGAGGATATTTCTTTTATACAGAAGAAGAATGAAAGAAAAAGAAAAAGGGAATGATGCTTTCGTATACAATTATAATTGTATGCCTCAAGATCAAATACAGTAAGATTTAGTAAGAAAGGTAAACCGGCAAAACCTTTGGAAGGAAATGGACAATAAACTTCTTCTTTTTTAAACACGGGATAATCTTTCCGGTTAATGTAATTGTGCATGTGTTTTGTGCTTGTCTACGCCCGTAGTTCTTATAATTGTACACAAAATGTATACACTCGCTTCTGCAACAAAAACTTCTCGTTTCTCTTCATTTGCGGATGAGCCAACCTTTTCAGTTATACTACTAAGCCTATACATGTACATGTACTTTGTGGGGGGAAACACAATGTTATTCGACACACTGAGTCTTTATTTAATGAGTGATTTAATGCCCAGGGAGAAAAAAAAATCGGAAATCGTTGTTTTAATGGTTTTATTCTGAACTAGCTTGACCTAATAGGCCTAGGTTTATTTTCTGCCAACAGAAAACGCCTCTTACAAAACGCTTGTTCACGCCGAACCACCGTGTTTCCTGGGATGTAGAGTGGGGAGATTGCAGCAGGGGTTGTGGCCAAGGTAGGCAAAGAAAGCTAAATCCATCCACACATGAAACCCAGCAAACGCAGCAATCTTCCACCGGCTAACGGAAATCAACCTAGGGCCTACAGGGTTTGCACAGAGCGCCCTCACTGTGGTGGTCTCGTTCCCCTGTAGTCCTCATGTTTTGTCACTGAATTCAAATAACCTTACTTGTTCACAGTGAGAGCGCACTATGATTGCTTACTTTCTCTCTACAACAAGATATGGAAAACAGGTCGTTGACCTTTTCGTGTTTGTTAACTGCAGCTATTTTGTGTTTTGTATTTTCGGCGTTCCATAGTCCACCGCTTATGCTGTCTTGTTTCTGAAATTACTGTACCGTGTGATCGTGTAATTTTGAACTTTGCACCAGACTAAACGTGACCGAACAATCAATCAGCTGATCTCGTTGTCTGCCTGATTGTGAACAGGTACAGGTGAACCATGCGTGAACTACAAATACAATTGTACACGATCGATACCGCCAACATGCAACATTTGAACTGTCAATTTTTGTATTGAATTATTACCCAAACTAAAGGTGAACTGAAAGCCCGCGCAATATGTGTCTCTGAGACAACAAGCCATGAGGTGGGCTACGCAGCTTGTCACGGTGTTCCCAAACCAGTTATACCGGAGAAAAGAAGTTGTGATGGCGACTGCGGTAAGTTTATGAATGATCCATCATGTTCATTGTACAGCTGTATAAATAAGATAGTGGATATTTTGCCGGAGGTAATGACGGCAAACTAACAATTACTAAAGGTTTGGCGGCGGCAATCCATATCAACGGTAGCGTCAGTATCACACTGGGAGGAAGGTACACTTATCATAATTTATGCTTACGTCACCATTTCGCCACGGAGGTCATTTAGCATCACTGGAAACATGAATTATGCAGTACGTATGCACATGGATGTCCCGGATGATGGTAGTAGATGCATACCATAATGCATACCTTATTGCGAACACGTGCATCGCATGCACGGCGCTATACTATACTAGCGCGGCCGCGTCGTGGACTGACGCGGCTCCTGAAAACTGTGCAGAAGCCTCGAGTATAAAACAGTTCTCGTTTCATTTATTTAAATAAAACAGCAGTGCAGGGTGAGTTAAAAAAAAAAAGAAGCTGAACCCAAACCTCCAAAAATATATTTCATATTTAAAAAAAAATATGTAGCACCAAAATAAGTATAATGACTGGAAAACCTATTTCAGAAACTACTTTTAGATAAAAAAAAAGAAATTACTGAAATTGCTCAATCCGTTCAAATAATATCACCATTAAAACGCAATGACCCTAGAAACCTGTTTCATCAAAAAAAGCAATTTATTGTGCATCATTCTGACTGCTTGGAACAATGAAGAAATTGACACAGAATACTTGTTTCAACAACAAGCTCTAGTCATTAGCAATTCGCAACCAATATATGATTTATAAAATCCACTTTTTTTTTTAATGATGGGCCTTCAAAAGAACTTTGTTGAATATTTTTAACTTTTAAACTGAGGTTCAAGTTATTTCTCAGTGGTGATGTTTGTCGAAGTTGCAATCAGGTTAGTTGTTCAATTAAGCACCGGCCGGCCAAGTTAAGTTTTTAGCACTTTTGTTGCAAACGAAAAAGTTGATGAACATTACTGACATTGCTCAGTGTTTTTAAACTACTTTACGGGCACGTACAATTCCTTTTAATTTTGCATGGACATGGATATAAAAACTGAAAGTTTCGTAAAAAAGGAACGGGAATAATATTGTATCAAGATCCTTTATCTACAAAAATGAATAAACTAGAAAGAAAAAATGCATTGTCGATGTCGTTTTTGTTTTTATGCCGTTCAAATGTAATGTAATTTGATCAGGGCCGGTTACTGTGCTTGCCCGCCGCGTTGTCCTTTTTTGAGTATCCTGAGGCAATCTCGTCAGTGTTTTAATAAACAGATCTATTTAACCATAAATTGATACAGCAACGGATTTGCTTTCTGAATGCAATGATTTATTCCTTCCTTTCTTTTCATCTTTGCCCGTAGCTGTACTAATAATGTTTGACTCGCCAAAACGGGCTAGTTCGACCATGGGGGAATAAACCGCCGCTATCTTGAGTTGACGGTCAGCTTTGCTAGGCTATCGTTTGCATACGAGCCAGCGCTTTCATCTGGCGCATGCATGCCTCGGCCGTTGGCACGGATCTGCATAATTCATGTTCTAGCAACGTCATACGACCTGCTCATCGACTTGGTGACGTAGGCATAAATTATGATAAGTGTACCTTCCTCCCAGTGTGATACTGACGCTACCCATATCAACAGAGGGCGCTGTACTCTTTAAAATAGGGCTGAATTATAAGATGTATTAAATTCCCACCAAAAGTTGTGTAGCACGTTTGGGGTAATGGTTAAGCAAAGGCTCTAGTAAGTGGGATGACTCGCGTTCGATTCCGACCGCACCACATTTTTATTTTTTTTTTCTCATCCCCCAAAAAATGAGAATATTCTTCTTTTATTATTTTAACATGTCTCAAACATTTTTTGCAGAGTATTACATTTTCTTTTTCAGATTTGTGGCTCTGGAGGATTTTTTTTAAAAGGGAAATAAAGTCCGAAATTATAAAATGGTCTGAATCCCATCTTGTGAATACGAGGTAACAACGATAATTTTGGCATGGAGCCAGACTAAAACTTGTCACCGGAAAACGTTTAAGTACAAAAAAACAGTAACTGCGCATGTTCAGTGCATATCCGGCAAACTAACGTTTACTAAAGGTTTGCCGTCTCCGGCAAAATATACACTGCCTATAAATAATTGTAATTTGTATTGAATCCAACCAGGCCTACACATTATGATTTGCACAACAAGATTCGGCGTTTTTTTTCCCCGGGATAAACACGGCAGATAAATGGGTATGGGTCCTGGGACGTGGTCAGGTGATAACCGAATCTGTATTCTGTGCAATTTTTCGTGCAACATGTGCAACCAAAAAGATGATGGAAAATTTCGTTCACACAAAAGTTTGGGCGATCGTGTATCTACGGGCCCGGTTCCTATATGGGAACAAAATCTACTTTTAAATTATTTGACCAACCAAACTAGTTGGCGACATTAAGAACATACAGGTATGTCTTAGATAAAGGGCAGGGTTTTGAATTTTTGAGCGAAATTTGGGGGTACAGTGAAGATGACAACGTCAAAAGTAAAACACAACACAAAAACAAAGATGGCGATCACCGCGTGATCATGATGTACCATGTGTACCATGAGCACGCAAGTCGCGCTGCATGGCATCATGGAGATAGCATCAACCGACCCGTAAACACCGTCAGAAAATTGTAATTTCTACCTCAAGAATCTATTCAAAAATTACCAATAAGGTGAAATTAGCCTAGGCTTACATTGAGAGAAGGTTGACAATGTCATTTTTTTTTTAAATAAAAACAATTCTTGATTCTAATTTGATCAAAACAAAACAGGGGCCCTACACTATAGGCCCCTACACGATCGCCAAGGTTTGGACCTAGAAACACTTCATTGTTGATGTCCAAGCATATTTTGTGGGGAAAATTGTTATGTTTTCAGTTAAGTTCAGAACACGACGATCGCATTTTGCTGGTACCCGGCTATGCTTTTGCACGCATACGATGAAATGTTTATCCCGAAAAAAATTTGTCTGGGGGGGGGGGGTATAAATCAATTATACAAATGCATGCCACATGTTTTTGTTCCGAATGGAGGCCATCATGCTCATGCCATGTGCCGACGGCTGACTAGGTACATTTTTGTACCTTCCTAAATCCTTGTACATTGCAAAACATTTTCTGAAACTTTCAGTTAATTTGAAGGAGGGTTAATAAATAACATGGTAATGTTATACCCCAACTGTGGAAATGGTCCCAATGGTGACGGCAAAACTTCTTAGGCTAGTATAAACAATCACGTTGAAAGAGGTAAACATTAACAAATTGTTATGAGAAAACTGCTTTTTGCTAATCATAGCCCTGTATGACCAGCTTGCAAAGCGCCAGGATGACAATGCGACATCCCCTGCTCACTTCTCTCCGGTGCACTGCGACCGAATCGTCCAATCAGAGACCGGCGAGGTGACCTCCCCGGATTGGCCGTTGAAATCCGTCCGCTTCCTTCAGTGTCAGCTGACCTTGGTCCTGCCTGAGGATAAAAGACCAAGGCTGAGTTTTGATGTCTTTATCCTGGAGGGTGGTGCAGAATGTTCAGAAAAGAACTACGTTGAGGTTAGTTGAAGTAGACTCTCCAGTCCACTAACCTTTTATTTAATAGCCAAATTTGTATTGTAAGGTCGTATCTCCTAAAATGGGCGGTACATGAAACATGAGTTTCAGAATGTCAAAAAAGGTCGTATCTCACTTAAAATAACCGGGATGTACACACAAATAGTCAACAGATGTCAGTAGACGTCGAGATGCGATCTTCTTGCATGGAGCGTATTCGCACGAGATACAACTTTTTTGCAGAATGGAGTTACGACCTTGTTGCACTGATGAGATGTTATGTTATGTTCCATGCTTTCTGCTGCAAAAATGTATCAAAAGTAGCCACCAAGCTGCAGATTCTACATGTAGTCTATGGAATATCCACTTGTACACATGTATACAAGCGTCTACATTTTTGTACATACGATATCTGAGCAGATCTAGCGATTCAATCCTAACCCCCTCGTACTTCCCCTGCTAAATCCAACAGAGTCCAACCGGACTTTCCTGTTCAATACACTGTGCCTCATTTTCAGTTGTGTGCTGAATTCAATGGAGTCCAACAATGCGTTATAATGTGGTTCAGTTGCCTGCTGAATCCCAACATTTAGCATGAGGAATGTACACAAGGGGTTAACTGCTCAATCCAACAGGCTCCAATGGGTACGTGACATAGTTGGATCCTGTTGGATTCAGCAGGGTGAGGGCAAAACAAGAGTGTCTCTTGACCTCGAGATTCTGACCATTCAGAGGGCGCCTTCAATCGGGTCTTCGGTAACACGTAGTTGTTTTACAAAAACATGGCATTCAAATTTACCAATCAACAGCTCAGTCCACGTTTCTGATCCAGATGAGTCACATTGAAATAAAGTCAAATCCGACTGGCTGGCGCGTTGGCTGAAATACAATATGCATGCTTAGATATATCAGACGTTGGATATATGGAGAGGACACGGTCAGGCAACGAGTGATACTTGGACTGAGCCGAACCTTATGAGCACATTGAAGATTGATGCGCATGGTCTTAGATGGTCAGCCAAGTATCCTCTTTGTACACACATACTTATCTGACTGACTTACTGACTGTCACTTGTGACTAACATGTAGGCCCATTGTGGACTGATGAAGAAAGACAGACAGTGCTATTGTATAGGAGTACCTCTGTAAAGTGGGCTTAATTAACCTGGACCAGATGGATGAAAAGACTTGTGGAGTGCTGTGGCCTCGTGGTTAAGGGCACTGATTCGTGGTCTGTGGGTAAAGCTGCAGGTCGTGGGTTCGAGTCCTGGCGGGGTCATGGTGCGTGTGCCCTTGAGCAAGGCACTTTGTCACTCATTGCTTCTCTCCACCCAGGAGCAAATGGGTACTTATGAGGGCAGTGATGGTTATTGTGATTGAATTAGCTTCCTTGCGCTTAACAGGCAGCATCGAGCTGTATACTCCCCAGGGAGCTGAGATGGTATATGGAATGTTTAATTGGCCCAATGATTAGGGGTAATGATAATGTAAAGCGCTTTGATCTTAGTTAAAAGCGCTATATAAGAACCTGTTATTATTATTATTATTATTATTAAACAGCCAGTCTGCTTTAATTGAATGATAGTGCTCTGGGACCAGTTTTCAAGGCTTGTGCTTGATTGTTACGTATGGAAGTATGTTGTATATGTATGCACTTGTGGCGTTATACATGTATGTACCGGCATGTGGTATCAAGTAAGATTATAAAACGTTGTCATCATATTGTCATTTTTAGATTGAAGACATGGCTACCAATCGCTCCGAAGTAATCTGCGGTACGCACGATGAATTCACATGGACGGCAGATTCCAACCGTGTCCAGATCAGATTCAGTGCCGAGTCAAGAAGCGTCTTCCATCGATTCCACGCAACTTATATCGCAATCCAAACAGCACCAACCACAGGTATGGAAGCAACGGTATGCAAGTAATTAATGTCTATGAGTGCAATGGTAAGAGTAATTTCATAAGGTGACAGACGGAATGTTCCATTCATCGCTATAACGAACATTGTGGGATCCACAGAAAGTGTTCGTAATAACGATCGTTCGGTACAGCGATTTTGAACCGCTGGTACCCTTTTTTGACCAATAGTGAAGTCACTAAACTGGCATTTCTCACATCCGCCGCCGCACGAAGTTGTCACAAAACTTTAGCAACGGGTGGTTTTCCCTTTTATTCCTTGGGGAAGTAATAGCCATGTATCGCTCTTCAACATTCAAACACGATGTAACCCTGGGTGGTTTGATGTTCGGGAATTAAAGGTGGCCCAAACAGTGTTCAATACATGTACAACCGGAATTGTTTTTGTTAATCTGTTGACTTTTTTCAGCAACGATGTTTGGTATGTTTTGTACATTAAAACCGGGAGCCAAGGATGATGTTCGGTATAGCCGAATGTTCGGTATAGCGGTGTTCAGTAAAGCGGCGTTCCACTGTATTTCAATAGCTTGTGACTTGGTTTTGAACTGGGTGACTTGTGATTGACTTGTGATCTGTCATGGGTACGTTATCTACAACACTTTTATACACATGTACACTGTAAGTAGGTAGTTTGTTCCAACAAAGGTGCTGCACCATTAATAGCATGCTTTTCTTTTTTAAGAGTGCTCATCTGTTTTTGATGGACCGATGGGGATGTACGTCTCCGAAGTCCAGTCACCAGGATCCGAGCCAGGAACCTGTGAAGTGCTCTTCCATGCTGCGCCAGATGATAAAGTAGCCTTGTCCTTCGCCGTGTTTACTGTTCTCTGCACCAAACCTGTGCTGGTAAGCTTAAGTTCATGTTCATTTATTCTATCAAATTGAGGAATAAGCTCCCAATACTGTTTCAAGTCAATAATAAAAACAAGACAAGGTAAGCTTAGTAAAGTTGGTCCTAGAGTGCTCAAAATTCTGTTCAATTGATTCAGAGTGGTTTAAAAATATTCACTTGAAGTCTTTCATGCATCTGGTTTGTACAATGGGCTGGATTTAGCCAAATTAATTGGCGTTATCCTATACAATAGCACTGGGCCCAATTTCATAGCACTGCTTAACAGTAAGCAGAAAAGTTGTGCTTACTATAGCAGAAAATCATGCTGCTGCTTAAGCACTATTTCATGCTAACGGTTGCGCGCGCATGGATATTTCTATTGTTACGTCACTGATTTAAGCAAAGTTTTCTTCTGAGGTTAAGCCTGCTTTTGCTGTGCTTACTGCTTAACGGTCCCTATGAAATAGATGGAGGCTCGGTAAGCACAAAGTCAGCTGTTAAGCAGCGCTATGAAATTGGGCCCTGGTCTCTTCACTGGTCTACAACCAGTGTAAATCACACGTGATAGTCAGTGAATTAGTCAGCCAGTCGGTAGATGAAGTAGGTACAAAGAGAACACTAGGCTGGCCTTCTGTGATCGGCAATTTTTTTTTTTTAAAGTTGAACAGTAAAATGGCTTTTTCATCAGTTTATTTTAATAATGTTGTAGTCCGTGGTGTAGAGTTAGGCCTATTATTAACTATAGATGCAGTGATGGATAATTTCATGTGTTAACTTCATGATTTAAAGGGAATGTACATCATTGGCTTTTGCTGTAATTTTCTGAAAAAAACTATTTGAGGGGTTAGTATAATAGATTAAATATTGTGACACTGACATGTTTAAAGTTTTGTGTTCGAAAATGCTGGAAAAACCAAGAAAACCAAAATGTTCAAGTAGTCTGGTTCCTTGACTCCACTAAAGATAAAATGGATCAATTTACAGATGCCGGAAATTGTAAGGGAACCAGTCTAGCTGGCCTGCACCCATTGATGAACATGTAACCAATAGCACACAAAATTTGGACTGAAAAAAGTGTAAAGTTGGAGCAGTAGTTGAAAAATAGTTAGGTTTTTCCAACCCGTTGGAAATGTATACAAAAATATCATTTTCTTGAGAATGACTTCACACCAGGTGCCATAATTTTACAGGATGCTTTAGACTGTTGTTTACCAACATCCTAGTAAGGTATTTCGTAAAAACTTGGTAGTTTTATTTTTCGATGTTTGCAAATGTTGTATATTCCCTTTAACTTCATGTGTACTTTTTCCACCAATTTTGACAAGCATTGGATGAATCCACCTTTACAGACTTCCAACCCCTGGTTTGAACATTTCTGGTTTAGATAACATTCATAGATTCTGGTGTAGAGAAGACGATGTGTGGAACTCACGAACCGTTCTCCTGGACGTCGACTGGTAACGAAGCAGTTCTGACCTACGAGATTCCGACCGCAGATGAGGAGGAAAATTGGGAAATTGAACTGGAGTATGAACCACTCAAGTTTGGACCAGCAGAAGCAGCAGAAATCGGTAAGGGAATCGTCCTGCCACTAGCAATCAGCGTGACAATGCTGTTCACAATTATCGTTTGGCAAGCAGCAATTGCAGTTAAACTCAAAAAATATGTGGAGGACAATTCAGTAAATTCAGATGTGTTCTTACTTTTTATGCCCCGCGGCGAAGCTGAAGGGGCATACTGTTTCAAAATAATCAAAATGTTATTTTCATTTTTTGAATGACATCTTTAATACCTACAGTTTTAGGTTTCATGCACAGAAATGTTGATTTTGATGAACAAAGTGGAAAAAACGGCCATTTTGTGTGCATCGTTCTGTTGTTCTACAACAAAGCCAGCTATTTCAAAGCCGGTTTTTCTCAGTTGTGTAATTTGAACTCCAAGGAAGTAATTAATATGCAAATAATCATATCTCCAGAACGGGAGGGGCTATGGAGCTCTATTACATGTCCAATACCAAATGAAAGCTTACATTGTGGGCTTTCCAACCATGTGTATAACTCAGTTTTTCTTTTTTTTGCGACAAAATACCTTTTTTGTGGAGCCGGTCACATTTTCTCAGTGTTGGCTAAGAATAACTACCAGATCATGGCATTCAATCTTTGTTCCTGGTTAGATTGTAGCCAGTTCATCCATGATTCTACCGAGGGGGTTATCGCTTCGCCTGGACATCCCGAGTCTTACCCAGACAACGCCTACTGCCGCACCATCATCATGGTAGACCCTGGTCAAGTCATCACGGTTGCCTTCCGGGAGTTTATGATTGAGCCCTCGAACAAACAGAACGGAGAACCAATGGAGACATGCCAGTTTGACCACCTGATGGTATGGTCGAAATTTGGTTTTGTTATGAGTAATGTCATTAAATGTGTAGCATAATACGAGCAAATTTATCCACAGTACATGTAGGCTCATTGTATCAGGTATTATTTGCAAGCAGAATTCAGTAACTACATTTTTGTACTTTCCCAGAATCTTCCTTCAATAAAGTTATCAACGTTGTTTAATAAATTGATGACTTATTTGAATTGATTTGAAAAAATTGCTCAGAATTCTGTAAGCAGTACCTAACCCTTACCCTAAGCCTGCCAGACGCTACACAGTGCATCAGGTGCAAAGGTCTGGCAAATGTCTGGTGCACAAATCTGATGCATTCAGCTATTAATACCAGCGCATAGACGACAATGAGACGATGAGAACTAAGCTAGTTCCATTGAACAATGCCACAGCTGAATCCTGCTGCATTCGGTGACCACAGACTCTGAGGCAGTTTGGCATGAGACTTTTGACCCGATGGATCTTGCTACACTGTGCAGGCTTGTCATTTTGACAAGTGTTGCATGTTGCTGCCTTAAGCAGGGTTCTAGCCAAAATACCCTGGAGGATTAGGGTTAATGCAATTAGCCTATTGTGCATAACAACGTGACTTGTTAGCTTCCAATAAAAAAAATCCAATAAAGAAAATCAATATGAAAATGTGCTTGTTTGTATTGAGTATACTTCTGTTGTACAATACAATTAGTTAAGACGGTTAAAAATGGTGGTTTCAGCATTTATTTTTAATGTATTTCAGATTGTTGATGTCACGACAGATCGGGCTGATGTCTTCTGCGGGATGCGACAGCCGTTTGCTTGGACCTCGGACAGCAATGAGGTTCTCATTGTGTTTGTGAGTGATAACTCAGAGGCTTACACTGGCTATGAGGCTCGGTACTCCGTGAGCGACAAGCATCCCGAACCAGGTATGTCTCATAAGACACACGTGTATTCGTGAGGTTAGATTGAACCTCATTTAAAGGCGTTAAAACAAACCTCACTGTGAGTAAAACCTTTGAGGTGTACACTGGCTATCAGGCTCAGAACTCTGTAGCCCAAACCAGGTTTGTTCACCTACAGTCTTCTTGAGGTTTAATGGAACGCCATTTAAAGACATTAAATAGAATTTCTGCACTTGTGACTGATGTTTCTGGGGCTGACACTTGCTATAAGGTCTGGTACTCTGTAAGTGACAAACATCCTAAGCAAGCAGGTTCACCTGTTATCCTCTTCAGGTTTGATTGAACCTTATGAAACCAAACCTATTACGTGATGAGGTTTACACTGGTAATGAGACTCGATTCTCTGCAAGCGAGAAACACCCTGTGCCAGGCACATGTATGTTCTCATGAGATCTTCTTGAGGTTTATAACTGAACCTCATTTAAAGACATCAAACCAAACCTCTTTGTAAGTGATACCTCTGAGGTTTGCTACAAGGCTCAATAGTCTGTAAACTACAAACACAATGTGTTTAATTGAACCTTATGAAACCAAGCCTACACAGACTTGATTCTCTGCAAGAGTGAAACACCCTGAGCCAGGAACATATAATATTCTCATGAGAACTTCTTGAGGTTGAATTGAACCTCTGAAACCAAACTTCTCTGTGAGTAATACCTCTGAGACTTGCATGGCCACAAGGCTTGATACTCTGTAAGTGACAAACACCCTGTGTTTGGGGTTGTTGACAGTTTTAAAACAGTTTAGTCAAACCTCTATGAAAATGATTTATTAAACCTCACACGAGATTCGTTATTTCCTTTGAACCTCCAAAGATTGCTTGGTGATTACTGAAAATGAGGAAACAGCAGGAGAGATCACCACCAGTCTCTATCCCCAGTCGTATCCTAGCAACAGTGAGTGCTACTTGACGATACACCAGGAGCTTGATACTTATGTCATCTTTGAGGTTTCGACCTTTGACCTTGAGGAGTCAGATGAATGCGAAAAAGATTCTCTGCAGGTGAGATAAAGTTTGCAAATATGTGGTTAAGGTGCACGTCAATACTTGTTTTAACCAAGAATTTTTTTTTTCTTTCTGGAATTTGAATGCAACCATGAGAGTTTTCGGTTTAATGTAAAGATGCCAATCACAATTCCCCATGTGAAGATTTGAAGATTTGGGGTTTTGTTCTTTGGTTATCTGAACTAGCTTTGTTATCGTTTGATCAGATTCTATATAAACTTTAAGCCTCCCACATCCTTCAAAATCTACCAGCTGGTTCTTGAGGATCCATACAATTGAGGAATAGTTAAGTCACTTTACATGTTTAGTTGCTCTATAGGTTCCGATGGAATGATGTCAAAGTACCATGTGACCATCCGGTTTCCCAGTGATCGGTCACCATTGCATAGGCAAGCGTTTTGTTAGCAAACATGTCTAGTGTTGTAAAACTAGACATCATGGCTTTTTTGCACGTAAAATAACTGCAAATTCTTCATCAAAAAATGGCATAATGGTCACCAGCTGTGCGTGTGCAGTTGTCATTATTGTGCCAACAGACACAGCATTGTGTGTTGGCTCTGCATGTTTCTCAAAGATTTTGCCATTCATCAAAGGCTTGTCTTCTACCTACTGCTAGCGGCGCTATGTGATCTCTGTCTAAAACAATGGTGATGCTGCTGCTCCAGTACCTGGATGTAGGCAGGAGTGCTAGAGAGCTCTATACCCCCTTGAAAGGTTTAGGTTCAGAGAATGAACCATTGGTTTTGTGCACAATGGTGGATATTAAAGGAAGCATCCAGGAAGTTCCCTATCACAAATACCGACAGAGTTAAGAACGGCAATACTTGGCATACAAACGAATGCGAACACGAATTTGTGACACAGGGCAAGTTTTCGTACTGTGAATTTGCAAAATTTGAACACATTCCACTCCAGTGAATTTCGCAACGAATGCTTTGTGATGTCAAATTCGCATCCCATTCGCATGAAGTATGAACTTTCCATATTAACCCTTTGCTCTTCCTGAATTCCACATCACTTCAGTATTTGAAAAAAAAGTGACATCCATGTTTTTGCACAGCCCTCCAATATCTTTGGGAGTGAACCACAGTACATTCCAAGAACTGCCAAAGGGTATTGACAGAAAGCTTGGCCATGCTGTGAGGAAACTCTTTGGTCAGCAATAAACAATGAGACCAAAGTAAACAAGTCTGTCATGTCTGTGGTAAAATCCTTTGCTGGTGAGTCAAAGAATCCTCCAATGCACTTCTGCTGGAGAGCTTTGGCATGCACAACTGACTTGCAATAAACTACACTTAAGGCCTTTTCACACTGTCCAAAATCTCCGGGTTGGAACCGGTTCCAACCCCGAGATTTTTTTCAACCCTTTTCCCACTTCTAACATTTCAACCCGGTTCCGACCCGGGTAGCGTGCTCTAGCCGGATCGAAATCAACCCTGGGAGGGACCAGGGTTGAAAATCTCAACCCGGATCGAAATTGCATTTTTCGGCCTGAACCGTGTCCAAAGTGATAGTGTGAACCGCCCGGGGTTGAGTCACTCACGGCCGATCCGTGTTGAGTTGAGGCCGACATTTTACCGAAAATCTGACACGCCGTGCATAATATTTCCCTCCACCACTATCGCCGTCACAACACCGATCACGAAACAATTGCTCCCTAATTATCATCCAATAATGTATCGGTGTATGGAGCATCCTTTACCGAGTCTGGGCTTGTATTAGGTCTGCAAAATGTACCCCAAAAATGTACATTTCTAATGTTAAATAGAACGAATCGTCTAACGAAATGACCGGAGCCATTTTGGAAATATTGCACACAGCTGCGCTGGTGTCGTACAAAAATCGGACTCCCAAATCGGATTCCTTTACTCTCTTATTATTGGCCAAACCCTTTCACGTGACAGGTCCTTCTCCTAATAGGCATGCGCAATACTACCAATGAGTCCGTATTTCACAGAGTAGTAAATTCACGCTGAACACCGGCCTGTCCGTAAGCCTCGTGCGCGCAGCAGCCGCGTGCGTCGCAATGCATTATGGGATTGAGAAAATCATCGCAGCGCCCTGTGCCGAATGCGATCCGTGTCGAGAATTTGTAGTGTGAATTCACAGGGGCCGTAGCCGGATTGAACGTTACACGGTTCACGTAGCGGCCGTTCCCGTAAAGGACAGTGTGAACGTCGCGTCTCTCCGATCCGTGTCGAAAAATACTCGGGCTGAACCGGGTTGGATCCGGGTAGGTTTCAACACGGTTCGAAACGGAGATAGTGTGAAAAGGCCTCAAAAGTACAAGGGTTAAAGGACAGTTATATTTTTGAGACCAGCAACCAATCCCTGATTTAACTTGCAGTTTACTGACCTGACAACCGGGCGGACGGATCGTTTCTGTGGCACCATGCCTCCTTTCACTTGGACGTCTGATGGCAATGAGGTCCAAATTGCTTTCAGAAGCGATGACATCGTCCAGGCTGGAGGATTCCATTTATTCTCCTTGGCGTCTCAGCTTCCTCCAAAGAGTGCTCCAGAAAGAGGTATGGTTTCTGTGCCCAGGTACCCTCCGACAAAGAAAGTTAGGAGGGGCATGTGCTTGAATGAATTGCCGCCATATTCCTGGTGCTAGGTAGTGCAAAAACCATATAGGGGTTTTTCACATTTACAAAACAATGTATGATTATATAATATTGGATGGCTTTGAGGTGGATACAAAAATATATTGCACAATCATAGCGAGCGCAATGTATTCTTGTATCCACCGAAAAAAGCCATCCAATATTATTATTATTTATTTATATCAGGCTGACTTGATCCGAAAGAAATACAATTCAAGGCACTGTCCTCATTTCTTTTTTTTTTCGTCATAAACTATTTGAAGCTGCCACTGTGATATTGTTCACAACAATGCGCGTATACCTGGCCTTCTGCGTGTTGCATGCGCACTGCATGTCCGCAGCGTGTACCGTGTTCGTGACCACCAGTACGCTGTGTTGAGTGGTTGACAACTGTGACTTTCTGTGGTTTTTATTGTGCGGGAACCAGCGAAAATGCCCGAATGACTGCAATTATAATGTCATTGCAGTAAACCGGGTACTTTTTATGAAAGCATACAATACACAGATTTATTTTTACCGCTGGAAACCTGATATAAATTATAATACAATTTATTGTACATATACTATTAGTTATCCCGCGAGCGCGAGTGGAACACGCAATAATTTAGTGCCTCTAAGTCCTACATACCACAAAACCGAATATGTGGGATGCAGTGCGAGCGCGAGTGGGACAACAAATATATTTTAAAGCAAACTTGACACAAAGTAAAGATGGAATGCGCACGCTATACACAAACTTTTCAGCGTTTATCCTATTACAAGTGCCTGTTGTACGGAATGGCGCACACATCTTAGATGAGCACAATACGCAGAGTGCGGTATGGACCTTGGCCATGCTACATGGTTATACATGTATGTAGCATGGCTTGTTGCCATGGATTGACCAATCAGGATTGAGGTTTCAAGTTTACTTGAAAATAAATGTATGAATCTGTGCACTCACGCAATGTGTCCTTGCAACGCAGCTCTCACAACAGGTGTTACGCTTGAAGTGCCATCTAAGTGTACTGTTCATGCACATGTATATTCGTGGAAACTTCACAGGTTCTATCCACAGAATTGTGTATTCGGAACAAAAGTGGGGATTTTGATTTGAGGGATGTATTTCTTAGAGCGGTAGATTTTGTTTGTAAAACAAAAAAGAGGTAATTAGGGAGTACCGAAGTGAATACGTCACATGCAAAAAATGTGTGTGAAAGACATTAGCGCGTGACTCAGCCCGTGAACCAACACACGCATGTGCTCCGTTTATTTGCACTATACTTTCTGGTTCTAAATGACGTCACACTTCGGTACTCCATAGGGACTGAGGCTCCCAAGTGGAATTCTGCTGTCCCAAATTCATGTCCTATTACAGTCTTCTTCCACATATATACAAGAGTACAAGTGATAAACAAGTTTTCAAGATGCTCTTTTTGGATGAGCTAAACTGACGGAAAGACGATCGTCATCGGCACCACGAACTGACACTCACGCAGTGTCAGTATGTGGGTGTCAGTTCGTGAAAACCACGTTATCAACAATTTCAGTTTCACAAACTGACACCTGGTAATGCCCGTGCACATCAGACACTGATGTAATATACATGTAGGAATATATATTTTTTTCACGAAATTACACCCAAGCATAATGCGGCAATACAGAATGGATAACACAGTTTGAAAGGTTAGACATGAAGTTAATCCTTCCATATATTTGTGTACTTACACAAACAAATAATTAAGAGTCATTTCGTGTAAATACTTCATATAAGTGTCCACGGTCAAAAAATCAATTTTTTTTATTCTCTGTTGGATGAAAGTACTTGGTGAGTAAGTAACCAAAATAGACTTTATAAATCAAATTTTTGCCCGTTGCCATGGTAACAGGCGTTTATGTGTTTTTGGCTATTTTGGACCATTTTGGGGGCTGCAAAAACTGAATTTGGGTGATTTTTTAAACGGCTGTCCAGCCGAAATGCAAAATAATTACACTTAACCACTTATATCATTGCAAAGGACTGTTCTTACCCTTCCTTGAACAAATGCAAAATAAATTTTTGAACACCTCCTTGTATTGATTTTAGACCCTTCAAAACAGGTGGAATTTAAAACTTTCAAAATTGATTTTTTTTACCCCATTTTTGCCCCCATAAAACCCAACTTGCCAGGGCACCCAGAATAATTTCCTTCTGGCTACAAGTAGGACAAACATTGGTCTTTTCATATCTGGTGAGAAAACTTTGGGTTATTGTATACTTTTGACGCAGGAGTGTTCCAAATATGGTCATTTTTGGCAAAAAGTCAAAAAATGGTTTTTCAATGTTTTTCTTTTTTTAAGTGTTTATAATGCCAACAAATGAAGCCCTCCTGAGTTTTGCCACTTTTTTTTTTATATAAACAAGTCTCGCTTGAAATTGGTTGATGAATGAGCAGGCAATAGAGTGCCCCCCCCCCCATTTAGCACCCTTGCCCCGCCCCATTCAACTTAGGTTAGATTTTGTTGCTGTTTATGACATATTTTTGCAATTCTCCTGTCATATCTGAAACAAAGCTGGGCTGTAAAATAAAAAAATGCACACATTGGTACCTTTCTACACCCAAATTTACATGTACATGTAGTTTAATGAATCACTGCCATTTTGCGCAACATTTGGACTAATGTTCAGTTTGTTTTTCACTAAAAGATATAGTTACACATTTACTATTTTAAATTTTAGACATTTTGTTTTGCAAAATATTTTAAGCTTTTGCCTTTTCATAACTGCTAATATCTTAACCGGAGGGGATAGAGAGTGACAAACACTTCATAGCAGGCTAAAAATAAATTTCTATGCGATGTAGGGAAAATGACAAATTTGCTGGGAATACAACAAAATGATTCTATAATGCTTTTAGAGTGAAATAGGTAGACATTTTAGGAAAAGCTACCGGTACCACTCACTAAGACTGGGCAGTTGAGAAGGCTGTTATTATTATTATCTACGCTTCACTTAGGCAAATAAGTGTATAATTAAGGACATGAAGATTTAAAGGTACTACCGGTATGTTGTACTGTTGGAACAAATTTTTGTATTAAATAAATAATGTTAACGGATTCAGAAGCAAAACTGATTAAACTTATGAATGTTGTGGTTTACTGAACTGTAGTTATTGTGTTGAACAAGTGCAGGCATTGACAAGATCTTTCAGTTTCATTTCATAGGCAGATCTCTTGCGTTTATCCTGTAGATCTTGAGTGTCAACGTTTAGATCATGGCAAATTGTTTTCAGAAGTTTGATTCCAAGACAATGTAGTTTTCCCGATCTTGTCAGTTCACAAATGTTGTGTGTGTTTGACATAATGGGGTGCTTTAGCCCGACTGCATTGAGAACAGAAACCAGTACATGTGTACGATCTCTGTCCCTGTCGTCCTCTGTTGTTACACCTGCTACTTTAGTCTTGGAAGCCGCACGGCTGAAGTAGCTCGATATTTGTTGAGTAGTCAAGAACTCTGTGGCAGCAAACATTCTGTTTCCTTGACAGTCTCTTTTGATACGCATTTCTTGGGAAACAACGGCGGGATCACATTTTGAGCCACTTGATTCCCCCAAACTGAACTTTTCATTCAAGAAATCCTTCTGCTTTTTGTTGAAATGCTTAGCTGGTCGGCGCTTCTGAATTGCCCATCCTGGTGGAAGTGTATCTTGGGTTTCTGTAGTTTGGATTTCAGTTGCCGTGAAGCATGGCACTCCACATTTCTCAGCCTGCAACTTTTCTGCATACATAATTTTCACCTTGTCATGGAGTGTATACTTCTCCAGCATTCGTGTATGATTATCGCATAGTATATGTTGATTCACATCACACACTGTCTTGAATGAGTCGATACAACCTTCTTCTGGACAGGGAAAAAGTCCTAAATCAGGTACATGTGCAGGATCACCTTGGTAACTTTCACTTGGTAATGCCTCATCTTCAAACACTGGTCTTTGTCTCGCTTGTACTTCTTTGAACATGACTGCTTGGAAGGTCCACTATTCTTTCGAATTGTCAGGGTTGGAGGTTCAACTTTATTGAACTGATCAGAAGGTATGATTGTTGTTGGTTCAATGCCATAGCCTCTCCAGGCATGAACGCCATCCTCTCTGTATTCAAAGTTGGTGAACTGAGTAATGTTTTCTATGGTCTTGGTGCCAGTGACCTTCCCTTGGGTCTCACAGAGAAACACCTGAACACCAGATACTCCTCCATTACTTTCTACAGCTTTCTGGAACTGTTCAGCTGTCTCCACGTCATTGCCTTCATTAATGAAGATACCAATGTGAGATTTGATGGTTGCAGCCATCCTGTCACAAGGACCCTTCCCACCTTGAGGCTCTGAGAAATCATATCGACTGCAGATTGGAGGAACTGCTTGAAGGGTAACTGCACTGTGGTAACAGGCTGCATTGTCACTGCGGACGAATACTTCTTGCAGATTAGGATGATCGTCATTGACGGTTTGCACAGCATGCCTCATTATGCTAGCAACAACTGAGCTGTCTTGTGTACAGTGTTGAAACACATGGACAAGGGTCCGGGTTTCAAATCTGCCTGTGTCAGTATTCCTTCTTACCACAGCTGTGATGTGCCAGGATATTCCTCGCTTGGCAAACCATTGTGTCTGTGACTCTCTGTATTTCCTGGGTAGAAATTTCATTGCCCAATCCTGTGTGAACAACATTCGCACATTGCTTACTTGTGCGAGTGCATCAGTTCGTGCCCTGTCTTGATTGATGTGTCGCAGTTGATGGCCCTTGTAGGCAGTAATATCCTGGGTTGCCATATCAACTGTGAAAGTCAAGTCTTCGAATACATCTCTGGAAGATGGAGGAGAATGTTTCACTGCATCAGAAATTCCTGTCATGGTAGTTGTTAGTTCCTCACATCTTTCGCATGCAGCATCATGTTTATGTTGGGTT